GTCAGGATAATGAGCGCCTTTTGGCCTGTGGTCGGGTCTTGACGGCGAAAATGAATGGAGGAGCCTTCCGGGGCGCCACAAATGTTTGCTCTCTTGATCCAGATCATGGTTATAAGCATGTATACATATTTTAAAAATTATTTAGCTGTTTAGGGGAAACAGAGTTTTGCCACCCCAAAGTATGCCTTTTGGGGGGATATTGATTATTTTAAGCTGATTATTTTTAAGGAAATAAAAGACTCAAGAAGAGCCTTTTATCGCCCACTCACCTGTCTAAAGGACTTCCTTTAGGAAAAGCTGCTCCGGGAAGGGAGACCACCTTCGCATAATATGAGCTAAGTGTGGCAGATGGAGGCACCTGCACAGTATGTTAGACTCCCCTCTGGGCCCCACTGGTTCTGGGGGGCCAGTAAGAACTTGCCTACCAAATGTTTGCTCTTTCTTACCACCTTCCGCTTGAAGTCCACGTCACTACCCCCTTCTCCTTAGCTCAAAATGGCATATAAGCCTCAATTGCCCAATTTGTCCTCAGGTCACATTCTCACAGAACCCCATATATACAAACGTACTAAATTGGGTTATTTTCTCCTGTTAATCTGTCTCATGCTTGATAATTAGTTCTTCAGCCAGAAGAACCTAGAAGAGTAGAAGGAAAATTATTTTTCCTCCCCTACACTGTACACTGAAGGTTTGTGCCTTTTACTGTACTTTTATTACATGTCATCAGAAATTGGAACTCATTTTCAGAGTCATTCTTCTGGGATCCTGGGAAGAGGGTCTTTTTTTTTTCTTTTTTTCTTTTTTTTTTCTTAGTTTCCATTTCTTTTGTTGGTTCCTGTGTATATTCTCATCTTTACACCTCATCATAAGTGCTTTTAACAAGGAACAGAAAGTGTCTTGCTCTGCGAGACTCACAACTTTTTGGTGTTGGGTTCCCCACCCCCCTCTAGTTTAGCTGAATATTCAGTGAAGATAGAAGTTAAATAGGTGATTTTTGGATCATTACAAAAAGCACTCCTAACACAATTTGTGCCAGGTAGAGTTATGGGCATGTCACTGGCCAGGGTGCCATCTCTCCCTCAGAGCTGCCAGGCTGTGCTTGGTCCTCCTGTGTGACTCCACTCTGCAGCTGGCAGTGTGCAGACCTCCGGGAGGGGACACAGCACCGCGAGGTCTAGAGTGTGGGGTCATTTTCTATGCCTTCGGCCCCCCTTGGCTGTCTATGAAGCCTCTGGAACCTTTCTCAGGATAATGTTTTTAAATGCATGAGACAAAATACCCAGGATTACAAAGGAAAACCGTTGTATTGAAATAATTATCAAAACAATTTTTTAAACCCAATAAATGATGCCATAATATACATGGTTTTTTAATACATTAAATAACAAATCCAGCAGCAGGTCTCATAACTATTGTAATTTTGGACAGTGAAGATTGTAAACAATATTTCAAGCTATCTGCAGTCACTAGGATGAGTTCTGAAAATGTCTGTGATTTTTTTTTTTGGTGACATGATTATCAGGGCTGTTTGTTCTACTGAAGTTTTTTTACATATATTCATAGTTGAATGAAATACTAAATTTTAGTTAGAAGTTAGGGAAAATAAAGACTTTTTTTTCCCACCCATACAAGTTCATGCCCAGCTTGGATTCCTCTAGAACCCCTGTATAGAGCACTGATTCTCAAAGTTCAGTGTTCATCGGAATCACCTGGGATGTGTATTAAAATACAGATTCTAGGCCCCTAGCCACAGAGATCCTGAGGAGAAGGTCTAGTAGGGGCCCGAGGGTGCACATTTGAACAAATTTAGAAGCACTAAGCTAAGATGTGGGTTACTACCTGAAAGAAAGCCGTGCAAGTGTTGGAAGATCGAGAGGCTTAACTGTCCTGCTGTCTTAAGCATCCCCCCTCCAGGCTCTGCTGGTGCTTTCCAGGATCCAGGGCCTTGGGACCATGACGCCACCCACTGTGGGTCTGACTATAAGCCCAGCTGCCTCATCTGGACCTGACCTGTGTCTGGTCAGCTGATGCCTAAGGCTGGCTGGTGGGCCCCAGGGTTATGCTGTAATGGCGTGCTGCGTGGTGACGTAATGGAAAGAATTGTGGACCAGAAGTACCACCCGTAGTTTCTGGTTATAAAATGAATAGCTGTTGATAGCGCACCATCCGAAAAATCTACAAGGAACAGAATCCAATTATATGCTCTTTCTGAGTCCCACCAAAAGATCAAAGCTAAGAGGCAGCATCTTGAGCAGGTAGTCAACATTAGCATCGCCACTGAGGAACAGGCTGAGGAGGGCAGCATCACTTACACGTAGTATTCCGACCAGATGCGCATAACCTGCAGCTGATCATGGCGAAACATCAGACAAACCCAAAATGAGGCCTGCTTGACTTTTAAAAAGGGTGTGTGTATGCTGCGTTCTTCACAAATGCCAGTGGGATAAAAGACAAAGAAAGTCTGTGGCAATGTTCCAGGGGAGTCTAAAGAGACATGGCACTAAATAGTCCTGCACTGAAGGGGGAAATGCTTAAATGACATTGTCGAGTCCTTTGACAAGATCGGAATACAGATGGTAAATTAAAGTATTGTGTCAGGGTTGAATTTATAACAGTTGATAAAGCCATATTGTGGTCATGGAAGAAGATACCCCTCCTCTTGGGAAATACACACTGAGTATGTAGGAATGAAGGGCTGTTGTTAATGCAACTCAGTCTGAAATGATTGAGAAAAAATTGTGTGTGTGTGTGTGTGTGTGTGTGTGTGTGTGTATGCAAAGAGAGAGAGAAAAAGAGACAGGGGAGTGAACAAATGAATAAATGGGATAAAATGTTACCAGTCGGTGTATCTGGCAAAGGACATACCTTTCACTCTTCCTATTCTTGCAACTTTTGTGTAAGTTTCAAATTGTTGCCAAATAAAAATTATATATGTATAATGCATATATATATATATATATTAGCTGATTTTTTAAAAATCAAGAAAATTTAATAAAAGCACCAAAATACTAAGAAACTAACCTACTTTTTCACTTCTTGATAGATTTTTTTAAAAGGCAGAACATAAAAAAGGACACTGAAGATGATATAATGGTGAAGATTTTTAAAAAGAAAACAGATCTCTGAAATTGGAACTGATTTCAGTTTCACCTCCACTGTGTATATTCTCTGTAGTCTGTGTCATGCAGTTGGTGGAGATACCCGAGAGCTAAAGTGCCCTGAGAGCTCACTCAGTGAATGTCGGTGTTTCAAAGCCATGAGAAAGACGGAAAGCATCCCAGTTCACTTTGTAAAGTAACATAACCCTGAAAGAATGACAGAAATACATGCAGGAAAGAAACCCAAAGCTCCATCTCACTAACAAACATGATACGTCAATCATTGCTTTGAATCCAGCTGTTTTTCAAAAGAATCCTATATTCCATGACCTCTATCTAGTAGGGTGTATTCCAGAAATCTAAGAACCATTCAGCGTCAGGAGAGCTAGTGGTATAATTCGTTACATTACTGAGCTTTTCCCCCATTTAACCTATAACCTCAATAGTTGCCCCCAAAAGTTTTCAGAAAAATTCAATATTAATTCCTAAGAAAAGCCTCTTTGTAAATTCTGAATGGAAGGGAACTTCTTCAACATTGTAAAGGAAACTGTCCACAGACATCTAGTAAGTCATGTGAGAGTCAGAGAAGTATGTTCCAGAAGCCTGCTTTATACACATGGCACAATGTGGGAGTCGATGGACTTTCAAACTGTATATTCATTAGGATTTTATTTTGGTAAGAAAAATATGTAATGTATGTACATGTAGGGAAAAATTTAGAGGAAACCATACCAAATCGTTTATAACGATTATCTTTGGATAGAGGATTCAGATTATTCACTGTGTTTATAATTTCCACATTGACTTTTTATGACAAATTTTTAAACTTCTACAAAGAATATGAACTGTAAGATACTGCGGAGAGATGCGTTGCAGGTGAAATGTGCCTGTTACAGGGTAACAAACGGAAGGGCGTGCCTCTAGGGGACACCAGCTCCTAAATAGTGCAGAAGCTTCCGGCCAGAAAGGAGAGAAACTTGAAACTCAAGTTAGAAATAGCTGAATTCCATGGAGTCTTTAGGGGTTTCTATATGTAGCATCATGTCATCTGCAAAAAGTGACAATTTAACGTCTTCATTCCCAATTCGGATGCCTTGTATTCCTTTTCTCTTGCCTGATTGCTCTGGCTAGGACTTCCAATACTATGCTGAAAAGCAGAAGTGATAGGGGACAGCCCTGTCGTGTTCCTGAACATAGAGCGAAGGGCTTCAGTTTTTTACTGTTAATTATGATATTAGCTGAGGGTTTGTCGCATATGGCATACTACTCTGCCATAAGAAAAGATGAAATAGTGCCTTTTGCAACAACATGGATGGATCCTGAGATTATCATGCTAAGCGAAATAAGTCACACCGAAAAAGTTGAGAACCATATGATTTTACTGATATGTGGTATATAAAACTGAAAACAACAAAGGAACAAGACAAACAAAGAAACAAAAACTCGTAGACACAGACAGTAGTTTAGTGGTTACCAGAGGGTAAGGGGGGAGGGGGTAGTAGATGAGGGTAAAAGGGATCAAATATATGGTGATGGAAGGAGAACTGACTCTGGGTGGTGAACACACAATGTGATATATAGATGATGTATTACAGAATTGTACACCTGAAACCTATGTAACTTTACTAACCATTGTCACCCCAATAAACTTTAATTAAAAAAAGAAAAAAGAAATAGCTGAATTCACTGGTTCACTTGGTTCTTTTTCCCACATCCCCAACAACCTCCAGAAAGTTTCTATGATGGCGATTTAGACCAGGTATGTTTTCTAATGACAACGTGTGGTTACAGCCCTGTTTGTACGCTTTTAACAATGACTTTTCTTTGGCCTCTGGTTCATTGTCAGCTTCTTGTTTACTTCCTAAATAAGCCTCTTAATGGCATAATTTTGTTCCATTACAGAACGCAACTGCCCTGCCAGGTACGTGGCGAAGAACAGATGTGCACTTAGAGAACCCAGAATACCACACCAGATGGTACTTCAAGTATTTTTTAGGACAAGGTAATTACGCCATTCTGGTGGTCGGGAAGGAAGGATATTCAAAACAAAAGTTAGTGTTCATGTAATTTCTGGCACGCTGTCTGTGTGACAGTAACCAGTGTAGGGACACTGATGGCAGGGCATGTCACTTCAAGGTCGGCAGTAAGCTTTGTAGATGTGAAGATTCGATTCAGAGTCTCAGCGCTAGGAGTTTTTCTTGTAATTTTTCTTTTTTGGGGGGGGGCAGTTGTTTTTATCCCTGGGGAGTTAAAAGAGATTAGATAACCTGAATGAGTGATTTGAGACATAAGAAGAATTTGCAGGGTGAAAAACAGCTTTAGACTTAACAAAGCAAGTACCCTGTCTATAGTGGGTTTTGAACACTTAGTTCTGGGCAATAAGGGAAAGAGATGGTTCCCTGAGCTCCAGGGCCGAGACAGAACCTAAGGCATTTTACTGTAGGCTCTGGTGACAGGTATTTATTTCTCACCTACTATGCGCCTGGCAGTATGCACAGGCAGAGGCAGTCACGATCCTGGCCTTCATGGAGACTGTAGAATGGGGTTGAATCCCGGTCCCGTCATTATTAACCATAGGACCTTACACCAGTTACTCTCCACTTCTCTGAGACCTAATTCCGTTATCTGTAAAGTAGGGGGTATTACTATCACACAACTCGTAGTTTGGACAGACATTTCAATGAGATATGCAGGGGAAAAACTAAACCTGATGCCTGACAACATAGTAAGAACTCAGGCATTAGTAGCGACGTACAAGGCTCAGGTGAGCATACGTGGAAAGGTAGAAAGCAGGAGTGTGGTTAACGACGGAAGGTAAGGAAGCATAATCATTATTACAGGATTAGAAATGAGCTAGATAAACTTCTTATCAGGCTGATATATTTGTTTGTAGAAAGCTATGAAAGACACCAAATGGTATCTTTCAAAAAATCTGATACTGTACTGTTATTCCACTTACATAGCAATGCATATTTCTTTACAAAGAGAGAAATCAGTGGGAAAACTGTCATCTTCCCAAATGCTTGAAAACATAGAGCCTGGAGCAGTGATGGCTTTAAAGAAAATGGCGCCATCAGTTTGGATGCCTTTAGCTTCCTGAACCAGCTTAAACAATAAGGGGTGTAGCAAGAAACCCAGAGGGAGGGCAGGCTCTGGGGTTGGTGGGTTCTGTGATGTCATCAAGGCTGGTCCCCCTCAGGGTCACAAGGAGGATGCAGCGATTCCAGGCGTCACTTCTAGACACCCCTGTCCGGAGCTCAGAGAAGGCTATTTTCCAGAGTGAAGAAGCCTTTCCCCGAAACCCCTTGACACATTTTTCCTCTTGTCTCATTGGCCAGAATCGGGTCACATGTTCATTCCTGAACCAACCACTGGCAAGGGGAATGGGAGTGCATGCTTCGTGTGGAGTGACCAGGCTCTGTCCTGAGCTGGGTTTGGCATTCCTGTTCCCTGATCGCATGGGAAGGGCTGGAGACCTCCTGAAGTGCCCGTACCACCAGGACTGGAAGAGCCATTTGGGTCTTCACTGTTCTAAACCTGTTTCTCTTCCAGTCCATCAGAATTACATTGGAAACGATGCAGAGAAGAGCCCCTTCTTCTTGTCTGTGACCCTTTCTGACCAAAACAATCAGCGTGTCCCTCAATATCGTGCAATTCTTTGGAGGAAAACAGTAAGTGACTGGCTTGCATCTCAAGTGTCATCACCACTTAACCCATGTGCTGTGCTGTCCCTATTCAGTCAAGCTTCCATGTAATGTGTCAGAAGTGGTTTGCTTTTTTTAAGCATGTTTAAGCTAACAACCTGATGTAATGAAGAGTTAGGTCTTACCCGTGAATGATGTCTTGCAGTTGGGTCAGTCTTGCCATCAGCATAGCTGTTCCTGAAGCAAAGTTTCTGCATCCGTTTTAGAAGAGAACGTTGGAGCACTGGGTGCCCGTTTTTCCACGCCCGTTTTTCCATGCATGACAGTCTTTTCTCATTATTCACCTGTTGAGAAGGGATACTGCCTTTGTCCAAAGCTTCTTATCTTCTGCACCAGGAAGGCTGTTTTCTCCCCCCACCCCACCCCCCTTTTTCTTAATGTTTGCTAATTACAGTGTTCCAGTCTCTTCCGGTTTAAATATTTTATTTGGATGACTCTCTTTTGGACAAATAATCAGCCTTTCCGATTTCTTTCCCCTCCCCCTGCTTCTCTTGAAGTTGATACTTGGGGTGCCTGGGGAGAGGGTTTATGAGACCTCATGGTGGCCGGAGAAGAGGACCTGGGATCCACGTGGGGCCCTCTGGATTCCTTCTGGTTTCTGTTGTGAAGTGACTACTCTGATCTCAACTAGCAACCTCTGAGATGGTCCCCCTGGCTTTTGGGGTCATTGGAAAGCGCTGGCCCCTGAACTCTGTAGTCCCAGCCATTGGCCCCTTGTTGCAAAGTCACTGCATATTGTGAACTCTGACTCGATCCCAGGTCTCTGCCCGTTGCCGAGCCGCTTACAAGCCCTACATCCTCACTGGTGTGTGTCCCCTGGATGGCGGGAGGCAGGAGCAGTGCCTCAGGCTCATGTCTCTAATCTTGTTGACCATCCACCCTTGAAGCTACTGAGTTGCTGCCCCTCACTGTGTTGAAACAAGTTCTACCTGGATATAGATCCCTATGGAAGGCCACGCCTGGGAAGTGACCCTCCAGTCCAGATATTCTTAGGGCCCTCCAGGTCTTACCTTAATATAATTGCAGCACCCTCCCCACTCCCTTCCAGGGCTGCCGTCAGAATGGGGGAACCAAGCACCCTGGCACCTAACCCCTTCGCTTTCCTACCTTCCTTCCTTCCACCAAGGCGGGGGTGGAGGCAGTAGGTTTATACTTCTGCCACCTTTCTGGAATAGATCCCCTTAATGTTATATCTTCCTCCCTCAGGAAGTAACAGTCACTCCACCTCCTCGCCTGGGACGTTGCCAGGTACTAGGGAAGAAAGAGTGGAGCAAATGTAGGGGGACATTTTTGGTTATTTTGATTTCCAAAGATATTGTCTCTATTGCATTGCAAATTGTAATAAGCACTTTGAAGGAAACAAAGACACAGAATGATACCAGAGACCGGCTTTCGATAAGACGGTTCAGGGAAAGCTTTCTGAGAAGAGGACATTTAAAGAGACCTGAGGGATGAAAGAGAACCAGCCATGTACGGAGTGGGGGTGGAGTTAGGGGGGAGGAGCATTCCAGACAGAAGGAACAACAGATGCAAGGCAAACAAGGGTACCCTGGGGGGTCACTCTTGGCTGGTCTTAGAGAAGTCAGGAGGCGGGATTTAGATCCCAGGGCCACGTGAAGGCAGCAGCCCAGGGCTGGGCTCAATGACTGTTCATCCTCTGTTGAGAGGTGCTAGTGCCTTCATGCAGCCCTCTTACCTCGGTTCTAAATTATGTGCCAGGGCAGGGTAAACGTTTGCTGCCAACTACATATGGGCGTAGCTGAAGGGCAATGAGGAGCTGAAAAATCAGGGTTGGCATAAGGGGTCAGTTCTTAAGCCCCCGTCGGCCCAAAACCAGCTGCCAGAGGCTGTGGGAGTCCAAAGAAGTAGGCGGCTCAGCACCCCTCACCCCACCGTGAGCTCACGTTCTCTTACAAAACAGTTGGAGAAATAGCCAAATGTATAAACCCTGCTTTAAACAGTCCTGGCTATCTCTGCTGTGTTTCTTATAAACACAAAGAAAAGGCTTCTGCTAAAAAAAAAAATTCATACTTGTAAAAATTCCATCAAGACCATACAGCAAATAAAAAAGGAGCGGATCAAAATCCAACTACTCAGAGATCGTCACTGCAGCATCCTTCTGGACATCCGTTCGTGCACACACGCACGTGCACACATGCGCACCACAGCCCCCCCAGGCTGCCTATGTGGGGTGATGTTCGACGTGGACCTCTCTGTCCTTGCTGTGCTCGCTTCGTGCTGCCTGATTTGCACATGGACCTGACTGTTCCTCTGAATTTGTTGGTTCCACTGGAAAGCATCGAACTACAAGGTGCTTTTTTATTGGAGAGCAACTCTAGAAAGGGGGAGGAAGAGCTTTACTGGGTTGTGGAGAAGAAAAATGCAAACCAACAACCCCACAAGCTCGGGCTTCACGTCCACGTGGGCAGCTCCTGAGGATGTCACTGTCACCCAGGCGGGGCGCGGCCTCTCTCTGTTCCGTACATCTCCCCTGCTGTTGCCCTTGGCTTCTCTTTAAAACTGTCTGAATGTTCAGTGAAAAGAAAAGGTGGGCGGGGAGGGGCTGAGCAAGGTCAGATGCAAGAGCCACTTCTCATCAGGTGGCATCCCACACAGGTGACCGCCCTGTGAGGTGAGCTGGAGCGGGGGAGAAAGCAAGGCCACCGAAGTCACTCAGGTTTCAAGGAGCGGGTTGTGTGGAATTTGAAAATGCATATTCCTATCATAATACTCCTCTATATTTGGACATTTTTTTAAATCTCTGTAACACAAGCTACGCACACACACAAAGGCTGAACCTAAATTTCATTGGCTGTAGAGAACCTGTAAGAAGGGCTCTGTCTAAGGCAACTCCTGGAGTGGCAATGAGGTTACCAGGTCCTCCAGCGACGTGGCTGTGGAAGTTCACCGAAAGAGCGTGAGCTTGGAAGGCTGAGCTCCACCCCTCGGCCACTCTTCCGGGCTTAGACAGATGACTTGGCAGATGTGTCCCCAAAACAGGAGGAAAGTCATATTGACTTCGTTGCCCATTTCCTGCAAGAAATGCCCTCACCGTTCTCTAGCTGTTTGTGCTGCCAATTTATTAGTCAAAGTTAGCAAGTTTTAAATGTGCACTATCTCATAATCCCTTTTGCTAACCAGGTCATGTAAATCCTTTGTGGATTATAAGTCTGCATCATCTCTTTTGTGGAGATTATAAGGAGACTAGCTTTCATCTGTATCTGGGTGGCTTGGACGTGGGACTGAACCATTCAGACAATCCTTCATTCATTCCTTTCCATTCAACCAAGACTTACTGAGTACTTTCTACAAGTTAGTCAAAGTGGGCACACATTAGAGAGGAGGAAACAGACTTTAAATAAGTAAACACAGACAAATATCGACATACACATTATGCAAACCTCTCTGAAAGTTTCGGGTGATTTCTAGTTCAAAGTCTTGGAGTTGGAGCCATCACATTTGGGTCACCTTGAACCTTTGGAGATTGTTCTTACGATCTCCAAGGCTTCTCTGACCCTTGGCTCAGAGAACCAGCCCTCTCTCTCATCTGGTTCAGATAGCTTGCCTGCTCTCCACAACACCTGAGATGCTGAGGACCTGTCAGTGGGTACGTTGAAGAGTACGTACTGTACTGCTGGGGTTGGGGGATAGTGGAAGATGCTGTCAAGACTGAGCCAGGTTTTTTTTTCTCTAACATAGAATGTGTTTATTTATACACATGCCCCTTGAAGAAAAATGAGAAAGACTGGATGTGGGTTTCTTTTAAATGGCCAGGTAAGGCTCTTTCAGAGATGGAAATTGCCAAACTTCTCACTGATTGGGTGTTTTGACTTTCCAGGGTACCCAGAAAATATGCCTTCCCTACAGCCCCACCAAAACTCTCTCTGTGAAGTCCATCTTAAGGTGAGTACAGAAAACTAGAAACCCAAAACAAGGAGACTTTGTACGTTTTTTTTTTTCCTGTGATCACTCTGTTAGCTTTCTATTTCCTTGAGCCTTGGCTACATACCAGACATTTTGCTAAGCACTGGACATGCATTAGTTCTTGTAATATTCACAGCAACCTTAAAATGCAGGTACCGTTGTTATCCCCATTTTATAGGTGAGGAAATAGAGGCTCAGGGAGAAAGCCAGGATCACACAACTGGTGTGTGCTGGACCCGAGGCCCGAGTCCAGGTCTGGCGGGCTCCGAGCATCGCTCTTAAGCATCTCCGCCCTGTGTTAGCTTTCTGCTGCTTTTTTCTTGCATCCATGCAGATACTTTGTTTTTGTAAAGAAAACCAGGAAATGTTTTTCCTTTCATGTTTCTGCTCTATTTTTTTTTTAAGATTTTATTGGGGAATTGGGGGAGGGGAACAGTGTTGGGGAATTGGGGAAGGGGACCAGCCAAGTTGTTGTTCTTCAGTCTTAGTTGTGGAGGGCGCCAGTTGCCATCTGGCTTCCCGTCAGCAGCTCGTGACCTCTAAGCTCAAGGTGCTGTGTTCAATCTTAGTTGCAGGTGGGCATAGCCACCATCCCATGCGGGATTGAACCAGCAGCCTTGTTAAGAGCGCACGCTCTATCCACTGAGCCATCCGGGCGGCAGCTCAGCTCAAGGTGCCCCGAGTTCAGTCTTACTTGCGGGTACGCATAGCCCACCATCGAACAGGCGATCTTGTTACACCAGCTGAGCCATCCTGCCACTTGTTGGCAGCTCAGTGACAGCTCAGCTCGGGCTCAGCGTCACTGGCCCATGTGGGAATCGAACCAGTGGCCCTGTTGCTCAGAGCTTGCGCTCTTAAGCCAACTCTTAACCAACTGAGCCACTCAGCCGGCCCTCACGTTTCTGCTTTGAAATAGAAACTCAGATGTCAGCTAATGCTTCTCAGGGAAGAATATGCTTATTCTTTACCCAACTGAAAGTTAAATGAATGGAACATCTAGGTGCTCCGTGCTCAGCTCCCCCTCGAGCCCCCACCTTTTCCTGTCCCTGTCATCTCTCCCCCATGTTGGGTGGCAACCTCCCCTAGGGAATGCCACCACCTGCATTGGGCCTGTTGCTTTGTTACCGGCTAAGATGTCACATCCCAATCACAGGAGCGTCTGTTTGTCAGGCACTGGGCCAAATGCTTTACAAGCATTCTCTTAGTAAATCTTTAAGCCGATTCCACCAAGTAGCTCTATTATTATCTCCACTCCACGGAGAAGGACTCGGTGCCTCAGAGAGGTGAAGAGATTTTTGACCAAGATCTCACAGCTTGTGACGCTGCAGAGCTGGGATTTAAACCTGGATTCATGTGACACCAGGGCTTGGGCGATTAACCCCCAATGCCATCTCACGGGGACCATGAAAGCTGATCCCCGTGCCTGGTGACTTACTCTCAGCTGCAACTCATACTTGCCGAAGTGTCCCTTAGAGTGGCAGACTTGACCCTAATTGCTAGGGCGGCATCTGGCTGGTGAAAGGGCACTGAGAGTAAAAAAGTACATATCTCATTGTCAAGCTCGATTTGGTCTCCAAATTGCAGATGGTTGCCCCTGCTGTACGCCTCGGGTTTTTCTTCTGAGCCGTCTGAAGCCCGAGTTGAGAGTGTATCAGGAAAGAGGCTCGTATTCTCTTGAAGCGCAGAAATATCCTGCTGCTTCTAAATCTTAACTTGCTTTGAAAGTAACACTTTGAATTACAGTAGCTTAAGACTTCTGTGCATTTTTCCCCCTAAAACGGAGTTCCTCAAGCTCCTTTCTTCTTTATATTTCATGACAAGGGACTTCGTTTAGTGATAATTTCATTTAGTTACATGAGTAGGGCCCTCACATTTCAGCCTGCCACTCATAGCCAGAGCAAGCTTCAGCAAGCAAATATTTTTAAAGTTGTGAAAAATGAAAACTTCTGCAGTTACTGCCAGTTGAGGGAAAGAGTTTGTCTTCATTTGTTACAATCATGAACTTGAAAACTTAAAAGGAAATGAAAATATAAATACTATGGAGTCAGATAAGCCTGAGTTCAAAGCTTGGCTCTATCTACTACTTAACAGCTTTGTTACCCTGGACTGAGCCTCAATTTCCTCGTCTTTAAAATGGGGATAAAACAGTACTTCCCTCATAGAAACTAAAGGAGATAATCCATGGGAAGCATTTAGCAGGGTGCCTGGAATAAGTAAGTACTCTGTAAATAGTAGCTCTTATTTTTACCTTTCACTTACAAATATAGGAATCCCTACTGGAAGGGGCCTTAGAGACCATCCTGTTCATGTCTTTGTTTTACCTCTAGAGCAGTGGTTCTCAACCTGTTGGTCGCAACCCCTTTGGGGGTCAAACGACCCTTTTACAGGGGTCGCTGGGTACTCGTATGTGGGCGTATCTGCATGTGGGCCTGGAGACGGGTAGAGGGGCAGTGTCTCGGTTCCTAAGACCATCGAAAATATGTGTTTTCTGATGGTCTTAGGCAACCCCTGTGAAAGGTTGAGAACCGCTGCTCTAGAGGGACTTGAGCTAAAGGAAGTGAACGTTGCTAGTCCAGAGGAAAACAAAAGAACAACCTTGTTTGAGGATGGTCTTTTGCCCTAAGTGGCAGGGGACTTGCCAAAGGAAGAAAGGTGTATCAGGTCACCTTAATTACATCTTCCTTTACCATGAATTGCTATGTAAATGTCAGCGAATCACTTTTTTAGTAAATAAAGGTGAGATCATGAAGAATTGTCAAGGTTTCCTGAAATGGCTGCTTGCAATTCCTCTCTTATTAGATGAGAGTCATTCTAATAATGATAAATATATCTAATATCTAATAATGATAAATAATGATAATAATAATAAAGGAGAGGGGCCAGTCCTATAAGGAAATTGCCATGTGGTGTCTGGGTACTGTCATATATTCACTCACTGGCTCCCTCCTCCGTGTCTCCTGTGGGCCAGGCCCTCCCATGATGCTCTAGGAGCTATGACTTAACTTCTCTGAGGAACTGAGACAGACCCCACGTTGTCTGAAGTTGCCACCACCCTGTGGCTCACTCTGTCCATTCTGTTGCAGTGCCATGAATCTGGACAAATTCGAGAAAGGCCCCAGGGAAATTTTTCATCCTGAGATACAAAAGGTAACAGAGAACTTCATGATTCATAATTGGATTTGATCACAGGGCTAGATTAGAACTCGCAGGTTGCCCGTGGTCCTGAGCCTGTGATACCCACCAGAGATTCCGATGTGCCAGGTGTGAGGCAGGGGCCAGGAATCTGTGTTTTTCAGAAGTTCTGTGAGTGATTCTGGGGCACCGCACAACCGACACCCACTGAACTCCATGGTCTTCGATCTGTGAACCAAAACGGGGTGTGCTCAGAAGCACCCTATTGGCTTGAGGCCAATCTTTTTACCAAGTGATGTGGAATTGTGTGGATGTGAGATGTTTTTTTTTTAATTAGTAAAATACAACACGTGCTTTTTGAGCACTGACTCATGTAGGATGCTCTACTGGGGGCCGTACAGGACAGAGGGTGTCCAGAAAGCCACCCTGTTTTCTTAGGACTTACTGTTCAGGGAGAACAGTCTGTACTGGGAGAAAAAAACTTGAGTCACGATCGACGTATGATCCATCAGAAAAATGTCAACCAAACTAATCAATTTTGTTCTGAAATTCTCCCCTTGAAACATGGCCAGCACTAGCAGTGTGCCAGCTGTGTGTCAGGGAGCTTCAAGGAGTTGGGTGCACCAGGGCAGGTGACAGGGAAGAGACCAGAGTGACAGGTTGGATTCCATCCGGGAGGACAGAGAACCAGCCAGCAGAGTCTTTCGGCCAAGGAGCGTCAAGCTTAAATCTACATTTTGGCGAAATAGTATGAGGCGGATAGATAGGAAGATGAGCTATCTTTGCTTGTATACCTTCAAAATACAGTTAGCGTTTAAAAGAAAGCTACTGGCTCTCAACTTAGCTAACCCCAAAGGTATAGAGTTGTGAATTCCCCTCTCTTTTGTTTTAATTTAATTTTTAAAATAATATTTGTACCCTGCCTCCACCCCAGAAGGAACTGAGGCAAAAATGGGTATGTGAGGTGAAATTTTAAGCCATACTATGCTTAAAAGTAATTTTTATAGCAAACTTAAAAAGAAATTAGAATTATAAATATGCCAGTAGCAGTGTACCTTTCTTTATTACATCATTTGTACAGGTTATCATTCTTAGTCTTTTCCTTCTTGCAGCCCGGAGGTGACCCCTCACCCCCAGACACTGGGCCCCAAAACCCACGGAGCCCAAGATGCTTCTCTCTGCATCTTGCTGCTGAGCAGGCCCCCTTGGCTGCGTTCATCTCTGCTCAGTCATCCTTACCTGCTTTCTCTCCACCATAAAATAAAAGGGGACAAGAAAACGAGCTATAACCCTCTTCTGTTTGTATCATAACTCGGTGCCTGTTTTTTCACCAAACAAAAGGCACTTCATGCTGTGCCTTCACTTGTGTTTAGACCTTCTTTCCCTTAACAAGGAACTCTTCACGAGCGTTGCCCATCCTCTGCGTGTGTGAGTGTGCACATGAGTGCGCAACTTAGCAGCAGCAGCCCGGCAGCTGTCAGTCAGGTTTCTTTCTGTAGGAAGCTTTGAGCAGCAGGCTTGAGAAAGAGAGGAAAGCGTCCTTGCAGATCGCTGGATCCAAAAAGTAAACCGGAAATAAGCCAATTGCTTTGCGCGGAAGGCATCTTCCCACCAAGCGGGAAGGCGGCTGATGCTATTTAAAAATGTTCAGTGTCAGTTTCTGGCAGCTGTGCTGTAGAAACATTTTTCTTGGCCAGAATCTTTCCAGAAGCAAAGTATGACAAGCCAGGTTTAAAGGGACAGAGAAACCTAGGTGCCTGTGCATTTCTTCCCACTGCTGTGCACCATCTGTGTTTCCAGAAAGCTCTGGTATACTCTGACTTTCCAAAACAACCAGATATTTGATAAAAATCTACAGAGCTAAATTTGAATTTTAAAAGCACTTTTGTGGGGTGGGGGATTGGGGCGGGGGGTGGGGGAGGATGGTGTAAACTTCAGTAAACTGAAGCTTAGCTTTCACAAAAAGTCGAAATGATCACCGTGAAGCGTGGATGTAACTTTTCAAACTTTGTTTGACAGGACTTGCTGGTTCTTGAAGAGCAAGAGGTAAGTAATCTTATGAGGTGGGGTCCCTGCTGTGCTCTGCCTCCATATTTTTAAACGTGCTTCTCCCTTCACCACGAACACAACCTTTTCTTTCGGTCAAACCTGGATTTGCACAGTGTGAGTCCGTTATCACTGAAAGACTTCCCTGACATGGCTTTTCAAGGTATATTTCCAAATTTTCTACGCAGCTAGTTATAAAGATACAAAAACAACCAAGCTGCTTAAATCTGCTTGGAAATATTCAGATTTTAACCTTGTGATCAGGGTAATGAGATTTTCATTTTCATTGAATTAAAGATAGGGTGTTTGCACTTTATTACACACTTGATTTACAGAATGCTATATTTATTTGTGTGTTTCTAGCACCTGTTACCCCACTTTAAAAAAACTTATTGGGTTTTCTAAGTACACAACTAACATAGAGAAATATCCCAAATATTATAAATAGGCAATTGAGTGAGTAAATTATAACTTGTATGTACCATGCCTCTCCGTAAATGGCAATATCGTTCATCCAGTTGCTCGGGCCAAACTTGGAAAAGTCCTTAATACCCTATATCTAATCCATCAGTACATCCTGTTGACACTTCTTCAAAATGCATCCCTAATTCAAGCATTTCTCAATGCTTCCATCACGACCACGCTAATCTGTTGACACCACCCCCATCATCTCTTGCAGTGCCTCCAACTCGTCTCCCTGCTTCCCACGCTTGCTTTCTATTCTAGTTTTCATGCAGTATCCAAATGGTCCTTTCAAAACATGTCAAATCAGGTCATCCCTATGCTCAAAACTGTGATGGCCTCCCGTCCCACTCAGAGTAGAGCCCAGTGTGCTTACCATGGGCTGCTGGGGCCCGCATGCCCCAGTCCTCTACCCCACACTATCCGCAGTGATTTCCTTATTCTCCCACTTTCTCAGGAAGAGCCTGCTGTGCCCATGCTGGGGATGCTCTTCCCAAGATGTCCTCATGGGGCACACCCTTCCCTGATCACCCTAAATTAGCACCTCCTGCCTCTCACCCTCTGCCCTTCTACACGCTTTGTTTTTCTTCTGGGCACATGTATTTTCATGTATTTGTTTATCTGTTGCCCCCACTAGAATGTAAGCACCATGAGAACAGGGGCTCACTCAGTTTTGTTCACTGTTGGATCCCCAAAACCTAGAACAGTGCATACAGACAGAGGGCGCAGACTAAATATTTGTTGGTTGAAGATGTGAATTACGTAGTGGTTGAATGAACTATGAAATATTTTGATGCCATTAAAAAGAAAGACCCTTATTTACTGGCATGAAAAGATTTCCATGACCTAATATTTACTGAAAAAAAAGGAGCAATTCACAAAGCATTCCTTACAGTATAATCCCAATTGTTTTCATAAACAAAGATTTATATGTATATTCATTTGTTCAGTCATTCATTGATTCAACAAATATTTATTGAGCTCTTAGCATGTGCGTACCATGTACTAGTTGAGGCATTGGGGATACACTGATGAACAAGACATGGTCCCTTCTTCATGGAGTTTACAATCTGGTGGATAAGACAAAGTAAACAGATAAACAGACAAAACATAAACATGGTAATAGCCACAACCCGAGAGCTGTGACAAAAGTATTAATATAACAAGGCAGCTGACGTAGGATAAGGAGCAGGTCCAGTAGGTCCGCCACACAGAACAAACAGGCAAGGTTTCTCTGAGGCAGTGACATGTCAGCGATTCCTGAACCTGGGGATGTAAATGCAGAGAAGGGGGCTGAGAGGGTGCACCCCAGACTGTGGGCAGGAGTCACTTTGGACAGGGCAGTGGGTGGGATGCCTCAGGGAGCGGGCAGAGGGGACAGCTACGTTTTTGTCTATATATTATCCATGTCTGAATCATGCATGTCACTCCTGAACTCGTGAACTCCATATATGATTTGTAAAGGGCAACAAATACAAGTAATACACATTTCTGAAAACCACAGGTGTTAATATTGGTCAACATTGAGATGAAGGGGAGGAAGTCACACCCCAGTGTCCAGCCTGGTCACTTGGCAGTTTTCCTAAATAACGACCAGCCCATCTCATAACTGTGTATGCTTTGATGATAAAATGAAAGTCACCACCTTTTGTTGTCTTATTGTAAGGGCTCTGTGAATTTCAAGTTTGGGGTTCTTTTTGCCAAAGACGGGCAGCTCACTGATGATGAGATGTTCAGCAACGGTGAGTGTCCCCACCCCCTTTCCGCTAACAGGAACCCCGCTCTGCCTGGCTGCGGTTCTGACAATCCAAACTGAACTTGCCTGTTGAGTTGGAGTCTTTACTGCCAAGAAACAGCCCGTAGTTTTATGAAATGTTGGGGTAAATTTTCAGGGTAAATTTTGTAGGGCATATGTTGCCCAGCTTTCTCCATTCGATAAATATTTATCAGCCACCTAATTAGTACCAGGCGCTGGCACCAGAGAGGCAGGCTCCCTGGAAAATTACATGGAATCTGAAGAATTTGGTTCTACGTAGTCTGAGTGGCAGAGGAGGATGTTTCACTGTGCTTTTCGGGTTGGGAGAATTATAAGATGATGCCCCGTTCTCATTATTTAGCACTTTTCATGTTAAATGCCTGTTGATGAGTAATGGAAACAGTAACAATGTTTTCATTTTGCAATACTAAACCCCCCTGATCCCAGGCTGGTGGGGGTAAGGTTGGTCGGTCCAATTCTGTAGTTTTCCCTGCCTCGGATGCCTGGGAGTTGTGGACCCCCCTACATGGGCCCCCAGACAGAGGAAGCATGACTTCTCCATTCTTTCCTGCTGCACACGTCTGCAGCGTCTAGCTAACTTTCACGTGACTTCAGTGCATAATTAGAAAATGAGGGCAAGTTGATACCGTAACTTCCTCCACATTTTACCTCTTCCTACAGAAATCGGAAGTGACGCTTTTCAAAAATTTTTAAACCTCCTGGGTGACACAATCACTCTAAAGGGCTGGACCGGCTACCGCGGCGGTCTGGACACCAAAAGTAAGCTTGCCTATTGATTTCTTCTGTTGTCCTTTGTATAACTTTTGTCTTCAGCCTGATCTGTATTTGAATGTATACCCAAGATGGGGGAAGGGATGAGCTAAGAGGATAAGAGGGATTCGAGCATCACACCCAGACTGGCACAGGGTCACTGGACACGTTTGGTGGCTCCATTGAGCTTGACCAGACCAAGTCAGCCTTCACAGTCCCTTGGGGTGGCGGGAGTCCTGGTCCACCCATGAATTCTTACCTCAGCATTGCAGGATAGAGCAATGGGTAAACCCATGTCGTCCCTGCCCCTCTAGGAACTTATAGTCTAGCGGGCAACACAGACATTAAACAGATAATTATCAAATAGTTTAGTACCAAGTACTTGGATGAACTAAGAAGAAAAAGTACAGAATGCCATGGAGGCATTTGACTAATCTGGGGGATTAGATAGAGAAGGCTTCCCAGGAGGGAGTGGTGAGTGGGAGTGATTTGAGTCTTGAAGGGAGAAGCGAATTCCAAGCAAAGAACATTGGAGAAGTCCCTGAGGCAGGAAAGAGCACCATATGTTCTAGAAGCTAAGAGAATACCTGTGTCACTGGAGGAGGCAGAGGGACTAGGGAGAAGGGGAGAGTGATCCTGCTGGGAGTTGGAAATCACATGAATAATTTTGGATTTTATTTTAAATGGAATTGATGTCATTAAAGGGCTTTCAGTAGGGGCGTGATAGGATCAGATTGTACCTTTGAGCAGAAGGGGCTGGCTGCCTGTGGAGAATGGCCCAGAGGATAGTTAAGAGGCTGTTGCCTCAGCTGAAGGAGAGGAAGGGAGGGTGGATGGGAGAGGAGCAGACCTGGGGCCCAGAGTGGTTTTAAAGGTAGAACTGACAGGATCCACCCGTGGCTGATGGAACACGGGATAAAGAGGACAATAAATCACAGAGGACACCTGGCTCCAGCAGTGAGATCGGGAACATCCGAGGGGAAGCAGTGTCGGGCTGGGAGTCTGAGGGGGGTGAGATCACAAGTTTAGTTGGAAACACTGATGCTCTCTTATAATTGGGTAGCATTTCTAGTTTTTCCCTGTGCTTTTACTCCTGTCGTTTCATCTGCTCTTCATAGCCAGTCTTTGAGGTAAGCCAAGCAGGGAGGCAAGGCTCATGTGGCCTAAATTTGAGAGGCTTTGAATCCGGGTTCTCTTACCCCCGGGAGCCTCATCTCTCCGCCAGCCCACGTGGGCGTCGGTTCACAGATCCTCAGTCCAGGTGTCGGGCCCCAGCTTCTCCGCAACAGGCTTCATGCACACGTGGTGAAGCCGGGCATGCGCACATGTTCATCGCCCCCTTGCCGACTGTCAGCCTCTGCTACCGTCATAACTACCGTCCGTTGAACACTTGGTGTGGCCAGGCCTTCTGCCGAGTACTTTACACGTAGGATCTGGTCAACATCCCTACGAGTTAGATACAATTTTTATCTCTAGTTTCCAATTGAGAAACTGAGGCTCTGAGAAAGGTGAGGTGACTTGTCCAAAGGAACATAGCTGATGAGAACTGGCATCCAGGACTAACTCCAAAGCCCGTGCTTTTCTTCGCTACAGAATTTCGCCAGTGTTTTTTTGTTGTTGTTGTACGGGCAGGATAATTATTTGCGTGTCTACTTGTGTTCATTTTGTCCCGGTAACCAGAAGGCAAGCAATCGTAATGTACTCTCGTTTATAGCCCGGGCTTCTCATGACCTCCTCCACTTGGAGGTGAGGCATGAATGAGACAGCAAGCGACTTAGAGAGGGCGGGAGGGGTCTCTGCACATGGGCAGGATCCACGCTGCCGCTTCCCCTTAGGTGGGCAATCTAGAATAACCTTTGGGACTGGACTGGCTGTCTGCACAGAGAGAGCGTTTCCTCTCGGCCTCAGAATTCTCTGCTCCCACCAAATGCACATTTTGTGTTTTACAGATGACACCACAGGGACACATTCAGTTTATACTGTGTACCAAGGGCACGAGATCATGTTTCATGTGTCCACCATGTTGCCGTACTCCAAAGAGAACAAACAGCAGGTACGTGTGAACACATAGATGTCAGATCGTGGCCTGACCGTGGAGAAGGCATCGTTAGGACTCCACAGAGTTAGAGAGCACACAGGTTACCATGTGAGCTGAGCGGCAGGCACCAGTTTAGGGATGTTGCATAGTCTGTATATTTGAACTTTAAACAGGCCTTAAGAAGAACGATCCTCACTGATGTTATCCCTCAAAGAAATAAAGGGTCAGAGGTAACAGCATGCATGGGAATCTGTGTGTGAACATGTGTGTGTTTGCATGTGTGTGAGTGTGGTTTTATGGACCTCTGAGAGACTGTTTTGCAGATGTGTCGCCTTTTCTCTGTGACTTCTCTCAGTGTGTCTTGTCAGAACGAGATTATCCGGAACATCAATTGAGTCGGGTCCTGAGTAATGGCTGGCAAGTGTTTTTCAGGTTAATGAGTGGCGCGTGGGCTGGGCCATGTTGGGGAAAAAACTGCCTGAGACACTCCTCACCCATCCCAGGGTGTTACAGTTGTGAAATGTAAAGGTGCTTTGGGGTCATGGCAGGGCAGGGCAGGGCAGGAAGAGCTAGTTTGATGGTTTGGGACCTGGATCAGGAGCTGGTGGGTTGTCCTGCAGGCAGTGGAGACCCACTGGAGCTTGTAAGTTTTTTCTGCCTTCAGAGACTAACTCGGGAAAGGACAGGTGGACGCAGGAAGTGCCTGAGCCCAGGAAGACCCCTTAAGTGGCTGAGAGTTACCGCCTACAAGGAGGGTACCTGGATGATTGCCACCAGGCTCCACCTCCTAGGGGCTGAAGCTTCTAGGCTCTTGGGGTCACGTGGAAAAAAGACACCAAGCTGGCCTTCCTCATTATTATAAACTGTATTGCCCTCTTACATCTCAATAATAGCATCACAAAACTTTCATTGAAATATCTTACAATCCTCCTCCTCCCCGAACTCCAGCCTTTTCAGCCCTGTGTATCCACCATCACTGCCCGTGGCCCGTGCCAGAGAGTGCGCTGGCCAGAGAGGCCGGAAGAATGGATGCACCAGTTCAGCCTTTGCACAACTCAAAAGCCTTTAACTTTATCTTCTGAGGGGGCTGTTAGCATATTAAGGTGTAACAGCACTCACCAGGAGCGTGGAAATGTTCTCAGATGGGCCCTGGTGTTCTTAACATCTTGGCTGGCTCCCAGGTGGTGCTTGGGACCAGCCTCAATCAAAGCTATACACTAGTCTCTATTACCAGAAAGGTGCTGCGGGTGGGAAGAGAGACAAAGAAGTGCAGAATGGTAGTGAACCTTAATAGTGCCTGACCGTGGGGGAGCAGAGAAGGACCACCAACTGGGAAACTCTCTCTGTAACCTGTCGTGGTCTCTTGGGGGCCTAAGACAACAGTCAAAAAGTCAGAGGCTAGTCTGGCTCATATAATCTTGGTAGCTTTTTGACATCCAGAACACTAGTGGAACAGTCTGAGCCACATTCCAAACCTGATATAAAGAAACAGACTCACAAAGATTGTGTAGGTTCCGGTATTACAATAACTTCTTCCATCTCCCCCCTCTCTCCATCACCTACCAAACCATAAAGGGAGGGTGTGTTGAGGTTTGCCTCTCTGCAGCCTCTGTTTCTTCCCCACATCCCGGGATGTCCAGCACCACTAACACCTTCTGGTCCCAGCATTCCACACCCTGACAGCAGCATCTAGTACTGGATGAAAGGCTCTCTGATCAGCCAGATCTGAGCCAAATCCTCTAGCTCTGCCATGAACGAACTCTGTAACCTTGAGCACATTTTGTGCATTGCCACGCCCCCAGCTCAGTTCTTGGTCCTCTTCTCTTTTCTTTCTACACTTATTCACTCCCTTGATGATCTCATCCAGTCTCGTGGCTTTAAATAGCTTTTATATTCCAGTGATACCAAAATTTACATCTCCAGCCAGACTCAATGGGCCAAACCCAGGTACTGCCTGTTTTGTTAAATAAAGTGTGTTACTAGAACACAGATCTGCCCGCTCATTCACATGTTGTCCATAGCTGCTTTTCAACTGCAAGGGTAGAGCTGCATGGTCACAAAGAGATAATATGATCTACACAGCCAAAAATATTTTCTGGCCCTTTACAGAAAAAAAATGTTTGCTGACCACAAGTCTAGGTGGTCCTTTTGGAAAGGTCAACCGGGGTTAGATTAGACAGGGCCATCGTTTTCACTGAGTATATGCTTCAGAACTGGCTAAGGCACTTCTAAAAATATACATGTTTGAGCCCCATCCGCAAGGAATTCTAATGTAATGCCTCTTATTTGGGGGCCTTGAATGTGAAGCTAAGGAGCTAAAGTAGGAGTAAAGGTGAACATGATCAGAGCAGCAAAAAGGGAGGGAACGGAGGCAAGTAGGCTAGTCAGGAGGCTTCCGTAAGGATGGACAAGCGGAAACGTGGGCCTGAACTGGGAGAGGGGCAGCGGCGATGGATCGGAGAGCCAGGAGACAGACGGCTGGTAAAATAGGGGAGGCAAGAAGTCAAAGGTGACTGAAGTTCGGGGCTCTGTGATCGCTGTGCTTGGTCGTGCTGTGTTAGGGTGTTAACTGTGTGGACGTGCCCCGTTTGAGTGACGTTCTCAATGATGATATTTATGCTTATTACCTCCAGGTGGAAAGGAAGCGCCACATCGGAAACGATATCGTCACCATCGTGTTCCAGGAAGGAGAAGAGCCTTCTCCCGCCTTTAAGCCTTCCATGATCCGTTCCCATTTTACGCGTATCCTGGCCCTTTGTGAAACGCTCCGGCTTAGCGAGCTATCGGTCAGCCTCACTGGGCTTAGAAGGACCATCAAGCCAAAAGTTATAATTGACTTGCATGTTATAATTGTTTTGCGTTGCTGGACTCTTAGATGTTTTTCTCTTCAAAAACCCCTTTGGGGATTTTTTTTTTCCCTCAGCATTGATCCCTCTTCTCTCTCCATCCATTGAATGGATGGATTAATTCCCAGAGAATTCTTGATTTCAGAAATATCCTCCCTTTCTTCAGGTAGTCTATGAAATGAGGGAAACTTCCTACCATCCATCAATAAGAAAAGAATTAGAACATAGGTAGTAAATCCACTGAGAAATTTGCTTTAGTTATAAAAGCTGCCAGTAAAGATGAAAAGCCAAAATAATGTTTCTTTGTTGATTCTAAGCCCTAGTAATAGCTGTGGCACTGCCTTCTCTTGAGATTTGAGGAATCATAGAATTAGTCATATTTTTACTTGCTTCTGCTCAGCTTCCTCTAGTCCCTATTTAGCTCATATTGCCGGCAGGTTCTACTAAAGTTCTCTGTAACATCCAAGCTCAGCTCAGTCAGACGGGTATGGGACGTGGGCGTGGCCATCCCAACGTTGCTCTGGGTCACACGCCATGACAGTTAAAACCAAAGGTGGTGCCTCTACTGGTTGTGCATAATCAGAAAAAGGCAACTATTAATAATAGGCATTTTCAGAATGAAGTCTGGTCTAGTTGTTCATGGTCCCTGGAGACTCGAATAAAAAGGTTGGGAGACAGGACCCTTGTGATTCATTGCTTCGGGAAGTAGGCTGCTGTCCATACGTTCACTTGTTCATTAAACCTAACAATATAGCATGGAAGTTTTTAAAAGTTGAACACTGGCAGATTTCTTCCTTGAGGGCAGGGCAGAAAACACCTACGCATTAGTAAGAGTTGCTTTTGCTCCCAAACACTTTGAGGAATCTATGGCTTTTGAGCCCTTGCTAAGGAAAGCGGGGGGCTGAAAGATGATAGGGGAGGAGGAGTGGGAGAAAGAAAGAAAAGTTGGCTGGAGGTGTGGAACCGTTTTAACCCAGCATGCCTGACACAAGAAAAGTTGATTCTACTCAGAGGCCACCCGCAGTCGCATTGGTTTGTTTTGGTTTGTTTGGTCTACCAAAGCCAGGAGACAGAGGGAAGGCATACTGTAGAAACACGTAAATTGCTTTTCTCTTCCTAATGTGTGAGATGAAACCTATGACTCATTTCCTGTTGGGATGTTTGTATTTCCAGGCAGGGGGATTGCTCTTTTTGCTTGGTTAGCTGCTTAGTTTTTTTAATAGCTTCATTTATATTGCTTTTCTGACTGATTTGGAGATTTAGCACTTTCCCCAAAGGATGAGCACACAGAGGTTGAGCCGATGTCTTCCTGGGCTGTCTCTTTCAAAATCCAGGTTTCATCTCAGCCTAAGGGTAACAGGTGCCCTGATCACCAAGGGCAGGTCTAGGATGATTCTGCCCGAGGAGTTTTCAAAGCACAAGCCATTGACTGAGCATCGGGTTGTTGATTAATTTCCTTAACCGTCACCACAGATATTTTTGCCTTAGTGAGGTATGACCAACAAAATGACAATTACAGGTAAGCAATGACTATCTCGATTGCTTGTTCTAATTCTCATGTTTACTTGTTAATTTGGCATTCATTTTATAAGGCTCTTGATAGAGATATTTCTTTTTTTTTTTTTTTAAGATTTTTATTGGGGAATTGTGGGGATGGGAACAGTGCTGGGGAATTGGGGGAAGGGGAACAGACAAGTTGCTGCCCTTTTGTTCTTCAGCCTAGTTGTGGAGGACATTGCTTCACTGGCCCAAGTTGGCACCATCATTGCGCTCTTCCTGGGTGAGGCAGATCAGTCGCCGGCTTTTTTTTGGACGGCCGCTCACTGCGGCTGCTGGCCGCTCACGCTGGCTGCTGGCCACACACGGTAGCCCATGGCAACCCACTGCCACAGGGACTGCAGCCCACGCCGTCGCCGGCGACTCATGGCAGTCCAGCTCCAGGTTGAGCTGTTGTTCAGCATCTTAGCTGTGGAGGGCAGTGTCACTGGCCCTCATATGTGGGATCCGAACCGGGGCCCTCTGGCATCCCAAGCGAGTTCTTAACCATCGCGCCACTCAGCCGGCCCGATAGAGATATTTCTTGATTCGTTTGATGTGTCCTCATCTTAGAGAACTTTCTTCAAGGCCGCCATCTCTTTTGGAAAAACTTTTCCGTATAGCATTGCTCTGTGCAGCAGCCCCAGGGTCGGAGGTAGTTTGGAATTTTATTGGACTCTTCAGTGGGCACAAAGTTGATGTTTTTGATCTTGACCAGAGTACCCCCTTTTCTGGGCTCCATCCTTTCTGTTTATCCTTCTGTTCTCAAAAACGAATCTGTTAAGAGGTGTCATGATGTTGTAAAAGGGGCATGAACTTTGAGCCAAGTAGATTTGGGCTGGGATCCCAACTCTGTCACTAACTTTGAGGCTTTGAAAAGGGTGTTTCTCTTCTTCAAGCCTCAGGCCTCATCTGTAGAATGAAGGTAATGATACCACCTGGGCAGTATCAGTCTCACTGCCATCTCGACATACCGAGAATGCTGCCGGGTACACAGTGGGTGCTCGGTGGTGGCCTTCACTGCCATTCCTGGGATGCCCCACCTTGCCCACGGCTGGTGGGTTGGACCCAAGAAGGACACAGGGAGACTTGGTCTCTGCCTTAAAGCACATAGGAGACTGCATGGTGGCAGGGGCTCTGGCAGCCCAGAGAATGCGCCTCCTGTGGGATGAATATTCCTAACACATCACATAGGCAACTGGACACATTTAAGGTTCCAACTATTGGTGGTCTCTGAGGAAAAACCAAGTAACTCTGGAACGTTCTCCATGTAGGCTGAAAATCTTTTCAGAAGAGAGTGTGCCGCTCTTTGGCCCGCCCTTGCCACCCCCGCCGGTGTTCACAGACCACCAGGAATTCAGGGACTTTTTGCTAGTGAAGCGTAAGTTCTCTTTTGAAATGTCTTGCATTTCAAAAATTCTGCGTCAGAATACATGTCTTCACATTCTCCCAGGATGCTGTATAAGAAAATATCATCATTTAAATGGCATGAATTCCATTGCATGCCCTGTCAATTCTTCACTTGAAACGTGTCTAGTTTTCTGGGAGTGTTGTGTCAGTTTTCCTGTGTGTCCTTATCTGTACCTACCATCCTACTTACCTTCAAGAAAGGGTCTCGAAATCTGGGGCTCAGGAGGTAAGCAGTCTTTGTGGCGTGCCTGTCGCAGGCACGGGACCACTCCAGGCATGTAGTCCTTTAACCATGGATTAGCGATCACTCAGCAACACGAAGGACACTAGTAGTGGAATCCATTGATTTCAGTGGAGCCAGTCAACAGAGTGACCTTCTGCAGCACCCTCAGAGGCTTGGGGTGAAAGGAAATGAAGGGCTCAGCTCATCTACAGTGGAAGATTTGCAGAGCAGCCATAGTGGGAGAAGGTGAGGCTAAAGGTTATGAAGAGGCGTGTTCAAGAAACAGAGCCCAGCCAGGAAAGACCAGGAGGGAGAAGGGAGAAGCCGGAAGGTCTCTTGAATTGCAAAGTGGATGTAGCAGCAGGGAGGAAGTGGGCCAGGTGGGAAACACCAAGATAACAGGAAATGGCGTTTCAGCGGAAATTCTGATTTTTGCCCTTGATTCAGCCAAAACAAGTCATTTAAAATGGATGTTCCTGGGCTACTAAGGAGGAAATATCCTCAACCAAAAAATTCCCATGAGAGAAAATATTACACATGCTAGAGACAATAATAGATGTGCATAGTTTAAATTCCTGAAGATATGTCTTGCCACAAATAAACCCAGCTTGCCCCCAGAACACAGATGCCATCTAGGAAATTGCCTCTCCCCAAGAAATTCATTTTTCAGTCAATGGACACTGTCCTTCCTTTGGCTTCTATGAGAAGAGTAATAGTTAATAATAGCTAGTTTATTTAGTTTGATGTGCCTCGCACATCATTTAAAAACGTACAATGACCCTTATAAGGAAATACGGTTGTATCCATTTTGCAAGGTAGAAAATTGAGGCCCCAAGAAGCAAAATAGTTTGCTTTAAAATGCACAGATAGCAGCACAGCTGGGATTCAAACCCATAACTGTCTTGACTTCGAGCTCCTAACTGCTATTGTACACTTTCTGTGCTGTGCTCTGCTGTGTAACCGAACATTCCACTTTGTTGACTCTTAGTGCCAGTACTCTGCCAGACCACCAGCACCTTTCCCAGAAGGAACTTTAGGCTAAGAATCTGAGTACTCCACTTAAGCAATTGTTATTTTTTCTAGCAATATGCAGAAAATATATATATATTTAATCCCATTTGAATGGCATCCTGGTGGTTTGGCCCGTGTTGGATGGGTGGAAGCATGGATAAATGGGTGGATGGATGGATGGGTGGATGGATGAATATATGGGGAGCAGATGGATGAACAACAGATGGGTGGAGGGATGGATGGATAGAGGTGGGTGGATGGATGGGTGAATAAGTGGATGGGTAGATGGATGGATCGGTGAACAGACGGGCAAGTGGATGGATGGAATGGGTAGAATGGTAGATGGGGGCAGGTTGGGCATATGCTAAGTCATTAAGTAATTAGACATACCCTCTGCTCAGGAAGCTTGCAGTCCAACAGGAAAGGTAAGATAGACATACCTATGGACTATCGACTTCCATAGGGAAATGTAGAGAGTTTTAAAGTGTTCTTCTATAAGGGAAGGGTAATACCTATGGTAATACCAGTATTAGCAAAGTGGATAGTGTTTGCTGTAAGGAGTTTCCTTGTTAATATTAACATTTGTAACTCCCTTTAAAACTTGATTTATTTTAGTAATTAATGGCGAAAAAGCCACTTTGGAAACCCCAACATTTGCCCAGAAACGCCGACGTACTCTGGATATGTTGATTCGATCTTTATACCAGGATTTGATGCCAGATCTGTATAAGGTAATCCTGGGTCCACGGCCCTCTTTCCTTCTCATGGGGTCTGAGTTGAGAACACAAGTCCTAGCGATGGGTCCTGGCTAGAAGAGCATAGGCGTCGCCCCGATTCTTGCCGTCAAGACAGGACTGTGGCCACTATGGCTGGTGTCCTCTTCTTGTAACCACAACAAGGAGGGATGTTGACTGTCCATACACAGGAGCCTGATTTTCATAAAGCCAGGGCCTGTGGAAATCGAGGAGCAGGCGGGGGCATGATGTCAATCAGGAACCCCTGGCACATTGGAGAGTGCTTCTGGGGGGGTGGGGGGCTGTCCTCTGCGGTACCACTCAGCATTACCAGTGCCACAGAACTGGTGGACAGGCAAAAGTGGGTGTTGTGGAGAGAGGCTGGGTGCTTTTTGGGGTCTCCTGGAGATTTCCTGGCCAGCCCCATAACCAGGCACTAAAACAAAGCATTTACACTTCATGAAAATCCACTTTGTGCCACCCCCTTCCTCGGCTGAAGGTATATTCACCGGTGAGACCCGCACCTCTCCTGAGGACCTCTGTGCCTCAAGGGGCACCCGTGTTCTCCAGAGGCTTCCAGACTCAGTGTGAGATCACCAAATGTCAGGGACTCGCTAATGTAGAGTAAAACCACCATTTAGAAGCGTTCTCCGCAGTTAACAAGGAAGACAGAACACGTGGGGAGGCTCCTCTACAGTCTGCAAGTTCATAAACTGCAGCAAAAGGAATTGCTAGCGATGTCTGTAAATAAACATAGCATCAGGTTTCAGGAGCTTGCCCCGGCAGATGAGGAATATCAACATGAGCTAGTCCCTTCCTTCAGCACAGTGACCACCAGCCGGTTATAGGCAGCCCTTGGCTTCTGGCTGGTCAGGACACCCCAGCTACTTGCAGGAAGTGGGCCAGACTAACCCCAGGGCCCTGGAGTATCTGCACCAGGAATCTGTAGTTCCTTTTTCCCTAAGGCCAGGGCAGGATGCAGAGAGGTGCCAGGATGAGTTCACAATGTCCTTCAGGTCCCAGATGAAGCATCGCAGCCTGAGGCGGACCTTCCCCACCCCCAGGTGAAGGCAGCCCCTGTGAAATGCTGTCAGGTGCTTCTCGTACCTCCCCTCCGTAGAGGTGATCTGTGTCAATCACGGAATTGGTGGTTTAATCTGTCCCTGGAGACCCTGTGCTCCACGCGGACAGAGACCATGTCTGTCACACACCCCAACTCTGGCAGAGGAGCAGGTTCTCATTCGATACTTGCTGACTGAATGAATGCGCCCAATTCTCTGACTGGTCTAGGAGAGAACTCACCTTTACTGAGTATGTGCCAAGCACTGTGCTAAGCCCCTTACGTGCATTTCCTCCTGTCGTCCCCATAACCCATGCAGGAGACAGGTAGCAGCCACACAAAGACACTGAGACTCCGAAATTAACAAGTCACTCTCCCAAAGCTACCCAGAGGGCCACGAATTGCACAACGCCAGGGGGTCCCATTTGCAGAGAATTCAGTGCATGGTGCTCCAGGGGGCGCCACTTAATGAGAATGACACTCCTGGAGCTGTGCAGTGTGGTGGCTTGTCACACCCTGGGAAGTTGGAAGGGGAGCGGCTGGGTTGCTTCATTTCAAAGCCCGTGCTCTCCGCCGTCACACGGTGCTGCCTGTCCACCTGCTGGCTCTTCTGTCCCTGGCATCTAGCGCCAACCTTGGCACCTAAGTGGTGTTCCATAGACACTTACTGAGTGAATGAATACAGGAGGACCATTCGGACAAATAGGTGTGTGCCCTCAGAGAAGACAAAGAATGAGACTGACAACCATTTGTGGAACTCATAACTTGTTTTTCTGTTTTTAGAACATGCTTAATAGACGATCTTTTAGCGACGTCTTGCCAGAATCACCCAAGTCGGCGCGGAAGAAAGAGGAGGCCCGCCAGGCAGAGTTTGTTAGAATAGGGCAGGTGGGTTTTATCCCGACGCGTCTTGTGCAAGCTGTGTACCGTATTTCCCCATGTATAAGACGCGCCCTTTTTCGAAAAATGTAGGGTCTAAAAACTGGGTGCGTCTTTTACAGTGGTTGTAGTTTTTTTTTACTTGCATTTCCCGCAAGTGATGAGGAGCTGTATGAATTTTATGATGAATAAAACTTGAGTTCAATGACTTTATGTAATACATTTTTTTCAAATTTCGGTCCCCAAAATTAAGGTGCGTCTTATACATGGGAGCATCTTACACATGGGGAAATTCGGTAGTTGTGAGTCCCTCCTGTCCAAGCCAGATGATGGCCCCCCTGTGGAGACTGTTAGGTTTGCACACCCCTGCAGGAGCTCTGTCATTGTGTTCCTCTTAGGATTGTTGTGAGGTTTTGGATAAGCATGTAGGTGTATTAATAGTTCTCTGCGGGCGTGAGTGTGAGAAAAACACTCTGGACAAGAGGCAGTGCTGCTGACTGCAGGCAAGAGGCCGCAGGGCCCGGGCTGGGCTCCCTCTTGTCAAGGGAGCGCGTTCCAGTTGCCTGCCTCCTGGGAATTCTCTGGAGGCTGGAGAGCCAAGTTGGGGAAAGCATCCGGAGCGCCTCCCTGGCGGGAGTAAGCGCAGAGTGGCGGTGCCCTCACAGAGGACCTGAATTCCCACCCTACTACTTGGAGGCAATTGTCACCAGTCCTCACCTCATTCCGGGTTTTGGAGGAAATCATTGTCCCTCGGCCTTGCTGCCACATGACATTAGTATTTCTCAGTTCCGGGAGGTGACACAGCTTTCTGCCTTGAACCCAGGTCACAGCAGGGAGAAAGAGGAGAGCTGCCCGCTACAGATAAGCTTCTGACTTGAAACTAGAGCTAAGCAAGGTGACCAAGGATTGCTTTGAGGCAAAGATCACTGTTTCCCCAGCACTGTGACAAGGGTCCCCCCCCCCAACATTGGTCCTTGTTTAAAGATACCCCGACTCTCCTTTCAGAGGCTGTGTGTGATTCATCAAGTTTCAGGAGGGACCTGGGAACTGTTTTCCGCTGGAAATCTCTGTATTGGTATATTGATTGGTTGAAATGACAATGCATTTGGGGTCATTTCAGTTGGGACATTGTCATTAGGGCTTCACCCTATCAGGCTGACACCGTCCTTTATCTTCAGTAATGAAGCACTGTGGGAATCTGATCCTTTAGTCTGAAATGCTCCTGTTTTATTAAAACATTTTCAAGTTATACTTGTTGATCCTGCTGGGTTGTTTTTTGTTTTCTGTTGTTTTTGTTTTTTTGCTGCCTGAGAACAAACTTTAAAGGAGATCTCTTTTCTGTAAGGCGCTGAAACTAAAGTCCATTGTGAGAGGGGACGCTCCGTCCAGCTTGGTGACTTCGGGGATCTGTAAAAAAGAGGTGAGTTGATGATCCTTTCAAGTTCAGTTGTGAATGTCCTTTGTCCTCAAGGAAGTTATTCAGGTTCTTGGAAGAAGGTTTGTGGGGCAGAGAGGAGAAGAGCTTGTCTAGCGCACGCCCTCATGGGAAGCCCCAGACGAGCTGGGTATCGTTTAGGGAGAGCCTCCTTATTTCCATAGCATGCACATGCCTTTTCCTGCTTACATGGAGCAGAGCTGCTGGACCAGGCCTGGTCAGGCAGACTGGGCCTTGTGTGCGTACAGATGGCCTGGACATCCTGACCAAGTGCATGTTCTGATCCAGCAGCTCTGGGGCGGAGTCAAGGTCCTGCATTTCTAACAAGTGCTCATGTGGTGTCTGAGGGCACACTGGAGACAGCAAGGCCCTAGGGCAGTTTTGAGCTTCTCAAGCTTTCGTGTGGGTGAGAACCACCCCCCAGAGTTTCTGATGCAGGAGGTCTGGGGTGGGGCCTGAGAATCCGCATTTCTGACAAGTTCCCAGGTGATGCTGAGGCTGTTGGTCAGAGGACCACAGCTGAGAAACCAATGCTTACTGGACAGTTCATTCAGCCAGCCAGAAAATTCTGTGGCCTGTGCATCTACTTCTCGTTTCCAACTTTTCATGGAAAAAGAACTAGGTGGTAATCAAAAAGAGAAGAAGACAAAAAATAAACAAGTTGCAGTATGAACATACTATTTGCATGATTTTGTTTTGTAAAGCAATGCCCTATGTACTTAATTACGTCCACATTCAGAATACGTAAAAGTTAAATGGAACAAATTCATAGCACGTCACTAGGGAAACATCCATTATAAAAGCAAGAGAATTATGGATACATTGACTTTAGTGATAAAGGTATAGAGAGATGACTTTTATCTGAATTGCTGGCCCTACACACTTTAAAGTTTGTTTTCAGGAAAATGAAGAGCCCAAAATACAATTGATGCTAAAAACAAAAACAAAAAACCCACACACAACCAGTTTAAGACCAGACTGAAGCATCTTCTCCAAAGTTGCAGAAATTCCCAGTGTCTACTTGTTCATGTGAATAGAATTTTCAGTGTTGCCAAGAAGTTTATAAACACCAAATTCCAGTAAGGCTTAGAAACCTTCTTTATCAGAAGTCCTTACCTGTACAGAAAAATGGAGGTCTGTGGAATGGTGACTTGTTCACCACTGAACAACAAAGACAGAGCTTCCGTTTGGGGATGAGCTCATAACCCACCAGGAGGCCATGCGTCATCCTTAGAGAAGCACTCCTCCACAGGCCCTCATGGGCTGGCGTGCACCTGGCGCAGCTGAGGCCAGAGCCCCACATGCTGCCCCCAAGACTGTCTTATTTCCAAACAATGACTTTGTCAACCTCCTTGGCACCCGTCATTTCGTGAGCTGTGTTAATGTTCTTAGAGGGAGCGAGTTAAAGAGTCTTGCACTTAGGGCTGAAGACCACATTTCTCACCCTGAAGAATCTGCACAGAGCCCCTCACATGGCAGAGGGGAGTCCAGTCCAGTGGCAGATGCCTTCAGCCCTCAGGCCAGAGCCTGTGTGGGCCAGGTCTGAGTTCCTGTCTCTGATACTTCAGGATGTCCTCTCGTCATGCAGTCCCCAGCCCCTTTGAGAACTCATGAAACAATGGACACACATGCCTCATTAAAATGTACAAATGGCACGTATCGCATTTTGAAAACAACTTCAGGGTTTTGCAGACCCCCTTAAGCCCTCCACGGACCACCGACTAGGGCCCTTAGATCTTCTGGGTGAAGAACCCCTGTTCTGCATAAGTGTTCTAAACTTGTGTCCCCGAATCAGAGAAGATTATGTTATGAAGAGTTGGTTTTCCCACCTTGGTGTTACCTAATGCTCTGACGGTGATGTCCATCTCCCAGTTGACACTTAGTTGGCTTTGCTTTTTCATGTCCTCCTGCTATAAGTCACAAACTCAGAATTTCCAGGAATCTTCTTAGGGAAAGGCCATTCCAATTAAACCTGCACTGTGTAGCCCTTTTTAATAAAACTTCTTCACTTTCTCTATGTGATCTTTTCAGAACAGTCCAAGCCTCCTCTTAGCAATTAGAATATTCATTTTGAGGTGTGTGGGTTTCTTAAAGGGAGAGCATACTTTTCTAAGAGAGCAATAATACACTCAGTATTTTCCCTCATCCCAAATGACACCCTTGAAGGTGACCTCAGAGCCATCACTGCTACTTAGAGTATGCATTCACTCGGTGTGCACAGACACACCTCCCTGTGTACAAGGGCTCTTGCACAGGCCCAGTGGGACGTGTGATTAAGCATGAAAGTGGAGAGGTAAGACTTCAGCTTGTCCCCGAGAATCTCCAAAAACTTCTTTGTCCTTTAAGGCCAAGCCACGTGCTTGGGAGACAAGGTAACAGTTCTGTTGAAAAGGTCCATAATTCTGGAGGGACTAAGAACCCTCTAAATAATCCCCACTGACTCCGGGAGTCCACACACAGCTCTGAGGCCATGTGAGAGAGATGAAGTCTCTCTGCCTGAAATGAAATTGAAACTAAGGGCAAGAGTTCACACGGTATGACTGTATCATGTAGGGGAACATGAGTAGGTTTCATCGGCACCACTCACCATATTCCTACAAACAGATGTGATTTTTTTAAAAGATCTTGTAGCCTTGAATGGGTCACTAAGCATTTTCCTCTTAACAGTCTCAACTTCTTGCGCTGTGCATGGTGTAATAATTTTACTGAATCAGCAACACAGAAATCTGACATTTTTAACAGAACTCTGTGCGACTTGTTTTTATGATGAACTAATGTTAATTCTCCAAAATATAGGCACCAATCGGCCCAACTTCCAGGTGTTTAAGAAAAAGGTTTGCATAGAAAACAATACCAACACTTCGATTGCCCCCAAAGAATATTTACAGTATAGAGACAGGTCATGATGCCAGAAGCTCTTTTCCTATTGCCTACGTATTTGAAAGGAGATGTTTCTTCAGAAAGGGAGCTGAGGGCCGGCCGAGTGGCTCAGTTGGTTAAGAGCTCGCTCAAGAGTTTGAGCTCTGAGCAACAGCAGTTCAACGCCCCGCCCGAGCTGAGTTGCCACTGAGCTGCCAAAAGGTGGCAGGATGGCTCAGCTTTAAAAAAAAAAAAGAAAGGGAGCTGAGTCCAGAGCCCATCCAGCTGCCGGGATTTGGAGGGGTCTGTGTTGCTGTTGCGGGCGGTGTGCTGTACATTTCCGTTGGATGGGCCGTGTGTGTTCCTGCACTTACGTTCCGATGCTTGTGTCGCCTCGCAGCCTTGGGAGCCCCAGTGTTTCTGCAGTAATTTCCCTCACGAAGCCGTGTGTGCAGATCCCTGGGGCCCGGCCTTGCTGGTCTCCACTGATGCTGGCGTCTTGCTAGTGGATGGTTAGTGAGTAGCTGCTCCTTCAACTGTCTTTTATCTGTGTGACTTATCGTACTTCTAAGATGGGTGACCGCCAGGCAACTCCCTGTAGGTAAATGTGTCCTCAGCAGTGAGGCTAGTGAAGTTTCATTTCCTTATAAAAGGAACCCCTGGGTTTTCCGGCAAGTAGAGGGAATATATTCTGAATAGCCAGCCGGAGGGTGAGTCGTGCGTGACAGGTTCTCCCCTGCCCTGAGTAGTCTGTGGATATCAAGTGACCTGCAAAAAGAATTTCCTTTTTGGCCAATACTTATTATGATGCCAACATTTCACCTGCAGCCGACCAGGACACGTTATCTAGAACCACTAATCTTGGGGACAGGCTGTCTTATCAAAGCTCTTTGATTTTTAAGGTTTCTAATTCTGAAAGTACCTGGTGTGTCCACAACAAACAATAAGACTTAGATAACCCATTTTTGATGGATATGGAAACAAAGAGATTTTGACAGGAAGACAGATTGCAACTCAATATAAACTCCAGCCTTTTGACAGCCAAGCAAATCAGCCTGCCTGGGGAGGCAGTCAGCCCGCTGTCACCACAGGTCAGCCAATCGGACAGGCCCTTGGTGAGGAGGCTGTAGAGGGAGTTCCACTTCCGGTGGGGATTTCATTTAGGCTCAAGGACCATGTGGTCCCTCCCTGCAAGAGGCCCCCCGTGGATCTTACCAGACTCCTAATGAATGTTAAATGGGCTAAACAATGGTACCAAGTGTCTCCTGGGGCTTCAGAGGAAGCCACAGGCCAAGAGACAGCGTCTTCCAAGGGCACATCCTCCACTGCACAGAAGCAGGCTGCCCAGGCTCTGGTATCATAGTGATGTTTGATGAGGATCCTAAAAGCCGCTGCGGTGAGAGTGACATAATGGCCTAAAACTGCAGCATCTTCCCACCCTGGGCTGCGACCTTTACTCCCTCACTGACCCTGACTCAGCGTATTTATTAAGTACCTGCTGTGTGCTGGGTCCTGTGCTAGGTGCCTTGTGTAGGAAGACAAGACAGGTGGGCCTAACGTGGGGGTCATTTTTTTTAAGTGTCTGAAAAATAGTTTATAATAATGAAAACTGACGAAGTGACCAAAATGGGGGTGATGATCATAACGACACGGAGGGGATCAGGAGATTAAATTGCTGCATATGTTAAGTGCTTAAAGCAGTGTCAGGCAGCTGGCAGAAGTTTATTAAACAGCAACTATTACCTTTACTGTACCCCTGGGAACTTGCTAACAGGGAACAAAACCCATAGATTTTGCCAAAAGTACAACCAAATGAAAGAATTTACTTAAACACACATACACACCCCTTAGAGGGTTAGTCTAGTCTCTTTAGTTTTCTAGATGAAGAAACTGAGGTGTAAAGAAACGAGGTGACTTGCCCAAGATCATACAGCTGGTTTGTGGCCCAGCTGGGACTATTGGGTTGTCGAAAAAGTCTTGACATATTTTTTCTATGTTTTTTGTTGCAAAAATGCGTCATGACTTTTCCAATAACCCAGTGGAACTTAGACATGGCTCCTAGTCCACGCTGTTTGCACTAAACCAGCTACATTTTATTAACATTAAATGAAACGCTACCAATGTTATTGTCTTTATCTTAACGCAGATTTCCAAAAACATAGTCCTGAGTAAATAATTATGAAAAATGTTGTTGGGATTAAAAGAATGTTAAATTCTTCACCTGTTTGCCTTTGTGGGAAAGAGAATGTGTGCTTCCTAGTGACTATTCGTAAGGCTTGCCTAAAAATGGGGGAAAAAAATTCTATTTGAGTTGGCTTCCAGGTTTTTGAAAATGTGAAATCGAAACCAGGATTATCAAGTCCCTTTCTGAAGTTTTCATCCTCATGAGTCCACAATTTAACAGAGGTGTCAGATGTAAGGGTTATTGTGATTGGCCAGGCAGTTCTTTTCTTCCACACTTGAGAGTCGTCTCACGCAGGTGGTGCATGGACACCCACCGCCAGCTTGGATGTATGACTCAGGTCACCCTTTTTGTGCCCGGCTATGCCGGGGTGCCTCCCTGTTTGCTTTTGCTAAGAAGAGAAAAAGCCAGAAGGCTTCCCTCTATTCCTTGTTGTGCCTTTAAGCCATAATTCTCTTGTTATCTTTTTCTTGTCCACACTTAACCACATTACCAATTGTTTCCAGGATTGAATCTCTCCTTTCCTTTCAGGCTGAGTTTCACTCTATCCCATTAACCTCTGCTTAATTCCATTAGACTTAGCCCTTGAGAGTCTGCCCCTTCCAAGGTCATTAAGAAATCAAGATCTTTTGTATTCTAAGTGTAGCCAAACCTACTTTGAGGGGAGACTAAATACTCATTAAACATGCTATCATCATTTGTTTTGGTTTTGCTGTAATAAAAAAAAACAGCTCTAAAAGATTGTTGTTTCATAAAGAGATTACAAGAAGAAAAAAATTGTTATGAAGCCGTCATTAAACCCACATGGTACTTTCTCATATCCTGGCCGCCTCCTCTCTCTGTGCTGTACATCACCCTGTTCAGCCACCTGAGAAAGGTCTGATGGAGAACAAATGCTGATGTACTCTGTACAAAGTTGGGCAGCTACACAGGATCCCCGCTTTAAATGTAAAATGAAGTGCTTCTGTCACTTACTAATTCTTTACAGTACTGTTGCTTCCGTGGTCACACCATCAATCCATGGGGCTGCAGGCTTCTTTTAGGCTACCTCGCTGGCTAAGAGCACAGGCCTTGTCCTTGCACCCACTGGGGTCCCACGTGCTCAACACATGACCTTGGACAAGTTTTTAGCACCTCTGAGCCTCAGGTTCCTCATCTATTAAATGGGAGCATTAGAAGTTCTTACCTAATAGGGTCATTAAGACATTTAAGTTAAATGACATGTGTGACACTTAGCATCCAGGCCTGCTGTGCAGGAAGCCCCCAGTGTCTGTTAGCGGCCATTCACAAAATGAAGTAATCATAGTTATTTAGTCAGATAAGATGATGGGTACTGAAGTGATCATCCCATGTTTTGAAAAATCAGGTCGGCCCCAGAAGAAGCAGAGAGAGCCTGAGAATTCCTTTTGGGGTAGAAGAAGAAGGAAAGTGGTTCGATGGTCTGTCACACAACTTACATTTGCCCCATCATTGTGGGGAACCAGAGATGAGCCCTCCATCTAGTAAAAGCTTAGCATTAGCAGTCTCTGTGCTCCGACCCATCCAGAGCCCTCTGCCCCGCAGGAGTGGGAGAGTCCCTCCCCCGTCAGGTGGCTATCCGTCCTCAGGACCACAATCTCTGCCCCGTTCTGGCACCATGCAGGGAGGGATGAACTCCCAACCGGATAGGTTTCTGGAAGAGGCAAGATGCTCAGAGACAAACAAGCCCAGCCCACCGCAGAGCATTTGAAGACCGAGTGTCTGAGGAAGTGCAGATGAACCATAAGCCAGCCACTTCTGCCTAAAATGACTACACCAACCCCAGACGTCATCGCCGTGCCCTGATTCTGTGCCATGCTCATAACAGACCCTTTACTTACAGAACAGTCTTATAATCCTTTTAGCCCTCCATGTCCTGGGGTCCCCGGGGGCAAGGGAATTGCTAGCAATTTAAGACCCCAGTAAGTAAGCTTAGAAACAAACCCTAGGGGTGACCAGTTAGCTCAGTTGGTTAGAGTGTGGTGCTGATAACACCAAGGTTGCCAGTTCAATCCCTGCATGGGCCACTGTGAGCTGCACCCTCCCTAAGAGTCAACTATGCCATTGTAGCATGAAAGCAATGTGTAACCAATGACCATGCTGTTCCCCAATAAAATTTAAAACAAAAAAGATATCAAGGAGATCATTCTTATTTTTTTTTAAATCCTACACATATATAATGGTAGTGTCTTTAACCATCCACTTATTTACCTGACATCTTCCTGAGTATTTCCACTCAAATTAATTTTTTTCCTGTTATTTGGGCAATATAACTGATATTTCATTTTTGTCTAAAAAGGAGATTTCCTATTCCTATATGGAGAAATACTGAAAATGTGTAGGTAAACTACTCTTGACCCAGACATAGCGGGTGTTGGAATCGGGTATGTTAGTATTTATTTTAAATACAGAAGGACATTTGAATTTTGCTTTCTTGAGAAATGAACATAGTAACCTAAGATATGCAATTTCAAAAATTACATCGAAATCGGGAAATACTTAGGAGAAATAGCTGAGCTTATTCTTTGTTTTTAAACTGGGTGTTCCAACCCCAGTAAAATCGGGTTCAGAGATGCTGCTTGTACTGGACGAACACTGAGGAGAAGAATATAGCTGACGGGCCCTGCGGCTCCGCCCCTGTTGAGAGCTCTGAATGCCTTTGGCAAGGAAACGTCAGCCCTTCTCCCTGAGCTGAGAGAATAGTGATTGAACCTACTGTATAGACCTGGGAAAGCTCTAGCAACTGACTTCCTGACCTAGAGAGAACTGGGGTCCAGACCTCCCGCAGGCATGTTTTATAGGTTCTGGCAAGCCTACGCTGGGTGGCAGTGTTGGGTAACCAGGTCTCCTTTTCCAGATGACCTTCCATCCGTGCCTGTGTTCGACAGAACCCTGCCAGTGAAGCAGATGCACGTGCTCGAGACCTTGGACCTTCTGATTCTCAGAGCAGACAAAGGTGGTACCCGCCCTCCGCCTGAGTTCTCTGGGAGGGTCACGGGGGGTCTGACTGCATAAGTCATGCCAACTAGCTCTTCTCCTGGTGCCCCGTGCTCAGGGTTCCTTGGTGGCCCATTGGTTCTCTGAGGAGGGGACAGTGAAGGAGAGAAGGAGGGACGTCCTTAAATGCATTGGTAGGGACAGGCGGTGTGGTGTTCCTCCCCAGTTCTGGGTCACCTCAAATCCTCCTCCTCCTCGCAGTGGTTTTCCCACACAGCCTGTCCTTTCCATTCTTCTGGGTCCTTTTACTTTTCCATTCACCTCCTCCTCTGTCTGCCTCACCTCACCAGGAAAAGACGCCCGCGTCTTTGTCTTCAGGCTGAGCGCCGTGCAAAGGGGCATTGAGGGTAAGCAGGCCGTGAGGAGCCGGTGCGACTGCAGGGACAACAAGCTGGAGAAGACAAAAGGTGACCTGCTCCTTCGCGCTTTGCTGGGTTCTGTTCAGTTCATCTTTCTCCCAGACTGCCCAGATTTTACTGAAAATGAAAATGAGTAGGAATTTGACTTTATGGGTTTGGCTTCTACTTGGAAACAACAGAGAGAAGCTAACGCGATAGGAAAGTATGTTGAAGACCAGAGGAAACGCCCCCAGGCCTGGGTACCAAGTTTGGGAGGTGGGTGAAGCTCTGCTAGCAAACCTGTGAAAAGGAACTTGCAGACTTTGGTCCCTGGAGCCCTCATCACCCTCACGTTAGTAATGTCACGGGATGGGTGTGACGCTAAGACCAGAAACCCTACAATGGAGGGACTGTGACTGCTTTCATTCTCCTGTAACTCAACCCAGTTTTTATTCCGTTTTTTCTTGGTGGAGGAACAGTTAGTCATTTCACTGGATTGTGCTTCATTTCCGGGGGTCTCAGGTCTTGCCAAGTTGTCCAGGCCTGGGGCTCCCCACCTCTGCCATGTGCTCAGCACTCTCCGTTTCCCTTCCCAGGCTGCCACCTGTATGCCGTTAACACTCACCACAGCAGAGAGCTGAGGATCGTTGTTGCCATTCGGAATAAACTGCTCCTGATCACGAGGAAACACAGCAAGCTTCAAGCGGGGGCCAGCATCTCGCTGTTGTCCCCGCTGTCCGAGTCACCTGTAGAAGAATTCCAGTACATCAGGGTGGGTTTGCTCTTCAAACTCCTGCTCTCCTGGCCGAGGGGTCACAAGGCCGACTCTGTCATCCTCCAGGCTTGTCCCACAGTCACTGATCCACGAGGGAAACCCCCACCTGTTGCCCAAGGCCAGAGGACTAAGGCAAACGGGGCTTCTCCCTGCTCCCTCCATCTCGTTCATGCCTATCGGTGCTATTCTAGGCTCTGGGGACACAGCAGTGGACAAAACAAAGCCTGTCTTCTCATGGAGATGGCTTTCTAGCTGCAGGGTAACAGAAATAAGCAGATAAATCTATGAGTCCTGAGGATAACAGTAAAGTAGGGTAAGGGAGCAGAGGGTGATGGAGGGAAGAGGTGGAGGAGACATCTATTTTAGAAAACATGTCCCAAAGCCCTCTCTGAGAAGGTTATGTCTGAGCAGAGATCCAGAACAAATATGGGGGTGAGTGATGAGGGTCCCTGGGGACGGGCATTTCAGGCCATGCTCAGGTACAGTTGAGAGGTGGGGGTGGCTGGAGCTGAGAGAACAGGCAGGGGGCTGAGGGTAAGGGGACCGGGCCACTCTAGGGACTTTGGCTTTGACTCTGGAGGTCGAGGAGGGAGCCATTGGAAGGTTTGAAGCGAAGAAGTGGCATTTTTTACAAAGGTCACTCTGGCCAGTGGACAGAGGAGCACATACGGCACTGAGAGTGGAAATAAGGAGTCTTCCAAGAGGCTAGTGCAGGACCCTGGTAGGAGACGACGTTGGCTTTGGAGAGGTGGGGGGGTGAAGCAGCCCTGCGTACCTCCATCACTAGGATTTGCTGTTTGATTGAGGGTGGAACTTGGTGAGACAAGCCTCCTTGAGGGTCAAGTTCCTTCCCTGATCTTACCATTTCTAGCTTTTTGAAAACTATGGTACATTAAGGTGTGAAATATACCCAACATTGGCTACCAAGGCAGAGTATGCCTATGGGCCAGCTGAGAAATTTTTTTTTGATACATTTTTTTTTATTGGTTTCAGGTATGCAAAACAATGTAATAGACATTTATACCCCTCCCAAAGGGGTATAAATTTATACTCCCCCCCAATCTACTACCCCTCTGACATCATATATAGCTGTTACAGTTCCACTGACTATTCTTTATGCTGTACTCCACATCCTGTGACTATATATATATATATATATATATATATATAAAATTATAGTTGACATTCATTATTATTCAGCTTCAGGTGTACACTGCAGTGGTCAGGACTCTGAGAAATTATTTTTCCCTCAAGCCAAAGCCTCCTGGATTATGCAAATCAATTTCTGCTAATATTCCATTTAGGAGGATAGAGCAGCGTAACAGTTACATTAAAATAAGTTAAAGTCTTGCTTTTATTGGGTGTCAGTCTTCTTAATACAGTTACTAGCAATTTTAATGACTATTTATATAGAGCATGCATATTTATGTGGCAGGCGAGCTTTGAAATTAGATTTTGCAAGTTCAGATCTTGGCTCTACTATGTATAAACTATGTGACCGTAGGCAAGTCACATGACCTTGGAACCTCAGTTTCCTCATCTGTAAAATAAGATAAGCCTTACCTACTTCACAAGGTTGTTATGAGGATTCCGTGAAAACAGTGCCTGGCACTGTGTTAAGTGCTTAACAAAGTTAGCAATTATTATCTTTCACTCTCATCATTATTAAGTCACAGGACAGGACCAGACTCTCTGAGGGCTAACACAAGACCACACTGTTGAATCAGTTTCGTAAAATTGTTTCCTGGCCCCTCCCCTTTGCAGTAGACAGAGGTCTGAGTCCTGAAGACAGGTTGTGGGAGGGAGATGTCTGATGCGGTCCCTGCCCCTTTCCTGTCTCTGCCTTCTGTGCGGGGACAGGGTCTGCAGGAGCCTGGGGAGGGGGGCGCTCTTCTGACTGGGGGGCGGGCAGTGGGGGCTTGATATGAAGATGGCAGCTCTGTGTCCTAACCCCTTCCTCCCACACCACGCAGGAGATCTGTCTGTCTGACGCCCCCGTGGTGATGACCTTAGTAGATGGGCCAACAGAAGAGAGTGACAATCTCATCTGCGTGGCTTACCGACACCAGTTTGATGTGGTGAACGAGAGCACCGGGGAGGCCTTCCGGCTACACCACGTGGAGGCCAACAGGGTGAGCGGACAGATACGGGGGCAGGCGGGACACAAAGAAGCCTAGGAGTTGTGTCATCTAACTTGGTGATGCCATGATTAGGATGTCTTTTAAATTGTGTACTGTTTATCAGGTCAATATTACGTGCCACACTATGTAAGCTGCACCACATGAAGTCGCCAGTTTTCAGGTCAAAATGGTTCAACCTAATATAACTGCCCCTTTGCCCTTTTCCCTGCCATTTCATCCTTCCCAATAAAAGAGAAATGAAGTGGCAAAGAGCTAAATATACAAGTAAATGAGAGTGTTTGTTAATTCATGCTGGAAGGGCCTTTGGAGGATGAGGCTGCTCTCGGTAGCCCCGCAGACTCCCAGCTCGGGGCCTAGGTGGCTGGGGAGGGTATGGGCCCTGTCTCCATCCCCTTCGAGGCACAGTGGGAAAGGAAGAAGGGACAGAAAGAGAGAAAGCGCAGATCAGCATTGAGGGGCTATGACTCCTGGCCTGTGCTGCACAGAGCAGTGATGGCCCAGCTTTGGACAAAATCTAGGACCCACTCGGAAGTGCACTGCAGCTCTAAAGATGACTGTGTGAGCTCTCCCCACCTTGAGACCTGGGGACCTGCCTGTTCCTGGAGCTGCTCTACGCGGACGGCGGACACTGACGTAGCAGATCACAGAATTCTTCAGCCTGTTTATCATTTATCATGGTGAAGCAGGACAAGGCCTGTTAACACGTGAGCCACTTAAGTACACAGTGCCGTGCCAGCACTCTGGCTTAGTACCAAGGACACCGCAGAGTGGGGATGCTGCCCCCATGCAGCTAGGTCAAGAGACTGCTGAATTCTTTCTAATTATGCTTTGCAAGAAATAAAAAACATAACGTGTATGAGGACATGCCCTACATAAATATTCATCAAAATTTCTAATTACCGTATTAAGAAGACTTAACAACACGAGAGCAAGATTTTTAAAAAATAGAAAAAGAAGATTCTAGATATACTTAGGAGGCCTTCGTGCCCTCAGCTGTCACCCATCAGAGGTCAATCTGTCATTTCTCTTCTGTATACTTTGGTGCCCACATTTGTTTGTAATTGGAGTCATCTGAGGAGCTTCAAAAGCTACCGATGTCTGTGTCCCACCCCCAAAGATTTCGCTGTTCTTGAGTGTGGCATGGGTTTTGGAAATTTTTAATGGTCCCCAGGGTGTTCTAATGTTCAGACAAGTTTTAAAACCACTGGTGTACACCAGAGCATCTCAACCCTGGCTCTCCTTAAAGCCTAGAAAGCTTTAAAAGGCCCCTCCATCCCAGCACCTGGGAACCTGCGATCGTTCCAGCCTGGTGACTTCTGGCTGACAGTCTTGCCTCCTCTTGCTTTTTCAAAAATGTCTGTGTGACCAGCCAAAGGGGCAGAAACATCACAGCCTGGCAGGTCTTTGTTCAATTAAGCCTTTCCCCGGGAACTAGTCCCTACGACTTAACCCGCTTTTTCTAGTGATTATTATTATTTACTTATATTTAATATTCTGATCATCATTCAAGTGTCTGTGGGGTTTTTTTTCTAAAATTCATGAAGATTCTAAGATTCAGGAAAAATTCTGTTAAAAACAGTTTGTTTGTTTTTAAATAAGGTCTGTGTTTTATTTGTTTTTCTGAAAGTCAAGAAGAACAATTCTAAAATTTTCTGTCTTTTCATCAATATGCTTTTCAAAGATACAAGGCTTTCCCCTAAGAAGAAGTGTTTTTTAAAAGAATTTTTAAACGCTTCCCTGGGTCTGGGTGGGTCAGTGTACATACTCCCTCCCCTGGTGACTCAGCGAGGTACAGCAGTGTTTGCTGAGTACACAGAGATGCTCAGACAGCGACTTGTCTTTGCAAGGAAGTTACTGTCTAACTGGGAAGATAAGCCCTAGAGAAATGAAAAGGTCCTGAATAATGTGTTTCTGAATAGCTAAGGCAGAAATGGCCAGTGGGCTCAGAGCTGGCTTTTTACCAAGATATTCCTGCAGCACAGGCCCTCCCTGAGTGCAGTGGAGACAGGAGAGAAAGAGGTCAGCATGCCTCAAGTCACTGGGGATTTAGTGCCATTCGAGGTACACTCACTGGCTGCCTGCTGTGTGTGCGGCACCACCGTGGACAGGGTGGCCTAGTTTCCTGGCGCCATTCCTCCTCTATTCTCAGCCAAGCCCACTCGGTTCCCATTCCAGGCCTCAACCCCACCTCAGGGTGTCTAAGACAATCCTAGCTTGAGAGAGGAAATGCCTTAAGAAGCCCCGAAGCAGCATTCTGAAAGTCAGCGTCAAGTTCATCTTAGGCAGGCCTCCTGTGACCTACTGCCCCAGCTCCAGCAGCCAGCACTGGCCTCCTTCCCAAAACGAAGGTCTCCCCTGGAAGGAACTGCAGACCTGGTAACGGGAGCTGGCTTATTCGCTGGGCCCAAGTCCCCAGTGGTTCTCAGCTGGGCACTGCATCGCATAGCAACCACGTGGAAAGGCTGGACACTGGCCTGACGGTGGCTTCCTCTTTCAGCTGCGGCTGGGGCAGGCAGCATACAGACGTCACTCCTTCCGAGTCTGTGTTTTGAATTTTCACAACCACCATGTGTTACTTTGATCATTTTTAGATGCCCATAAAAATGAACGTTTTTAATCAAATAAAAATGAAAAACCCAATGCCTATATCCTATGCTGGGCCTACTACATCAGGATCTCTAGGAGCGAGAACCCAGAATACACGTTTTAAAAGCTCTCTGGTTGATTCTTGTGTCCTCACCTGGTCAAGAAACAGTGCTGCAGAGACTGACGCCTGCGGGGTCCCTCGCAGGGAGGAGACCAACGTGTATGAAGCATGAAACAGGTCTCGCTGTGCTAAGCGTGAACAAAGGTCTGAACAAAAAGCTGTGGGGTGCCTGAGGGGGAAGGGGTGAAGTCCCAGCTGTGGTCTCTGTCCCTGGTCCCCGCCCTGTGCTGGAGCTCCGCCATTGCCTGCCCCGCACAAAGCCTACACGTGCATACAGCCGTGCTCGTCCGCCCGTCAGCACAGTCCTGGGAGAGTCCCCTGAGAGACCTTGACGTCTGTTACCTCCCTGGTGTCTCTGCCATCGGGCACAGACCTTGGTCTGGAAGGCTGCCTGAACATCCGCTAACTGTCGCTGCCGCCTGCCTCTCCGCCACCACCCCAAACCCATACACAGGCCTTACCTCGAAACTCCCAGGCTGTCTAGTTCCACCTTTCCCTCTGAGGGTAACCCCCCCTTAATTATAAAAAAAAACGGCCACCACTGAATGACCACTTCTATGTACCAGGCCCCACGCCAGAGCACTTTGTAAGCATTCTCACACAAAATCCCTCCAACAATCTGTGGGGAGAGTACTGTTCACTTCTCATTTTTGCAGAAAAGGAAACAGGTTCAGAAAGGCGGATTTATTTATTTCCCTGACACCACGCAGCTAGTAACTGGCAGAGGCAGACTTGAACTTATCTGACTCCAAAGACCAGGCCCCTAAACCCAGCGTGCCGTGGCGTCCACAGCCACATCCCAAAGCATGATGGGGACCTCAGGTCCTGGCTACAAAGCTGGTAGCACTTGGCCCTCCCCTCTGGAAGTTCACAGTCTTGCCTTCCAGAGTGGACACAGACACACCCACTACAGCTTGAAGCCTCTGACTGAGATAAGTGTCGTCCAAGTGACAAGTACTAGGACACCTGAAACGGAAGTGATTCTAAGTCAAAAGTGGTGGGGATGGGAAGTTTCCATGCAGGGGTCCAAAGGGCTGCTGTAATACTGTGCCCGCTGGTGCTGCTTCCATAGCTACATAATGCCACTAGCTGACAGTTCTTGAGCATTTACCACATACCAGGCCCAGTGCCAGGTGCTCACGTAAGTGACCTCCTGGAATCCTCAGCCCCCGGAGGGGTAGGTGCTCTTACTGTCTACCTTTGTAATGAAGACAGTGAGGTTCTGAGAGGTCGAACAACTGGCCTAAGTGCACCCACCTCTAACGTGACAGAGCCGGGATTTCATTGACTCAGTCGCGCGTCCAGTGAGTATTTACTCCGCTCCTGCTCCGGGCCAGGCCCTGCTCTAGACCTGGGGTTGTAGCAGCACAGCATGGCCTCTGCCGCTGAAGCTCAGATTCTAGTGGGAGGAGAGCGCCAGTAAACAGACAGACAAGTGCACATGGGACAGCGACACGTGCCATGCAGATAATGACGGGAGGGGTATGACCTATAGCAATGGAGGAGTTATTTGGGATTGTACCTCCAAGCCTTTCTGACCTCAAATTCGGTGCCCTTGACCTCTGGGCCTCGCTGTCTCTCACCCTCTCTGGAGTTCCCACAGCTGGTTGTGGCATTTGCCCAATTATGCCTTGTTTTGTTTTGTGTACTTGTGTGCTTTTCCGATTTTTTTTCTTGAGGGGCGAAACCTCGCCTTCTTCATTTCTGTACGCTGCACAGCACCTAGGACAGTGGCAGGTAATGACAGGTGGGAGCGGGCCAGGGCTTCCACAGGAGAGGCTACTGGAGCCAAGACGGCGGCCCTGGGTGAGGGGGTCCAGTGCGGGGTTCAGCAGCGTGGTGAGACTGTTGAGAGGAGAAGGCTGCGTTTTGGTGACTGAAGTGAGGGGGCGAGTCACCAGGCAGAGGGCCTGTGGGAGGAGCCCACACCACCCTGGGCAGTGCAGAGAAAGATCTGGAGAGAGATGAGCTGAACCTCGGGAGATGAGCCCTGTGCTCCTACCCAGGGAGGTGGGGCCCAGCCTGGCATGGTGGCAGCAGCACACAAAACACAACTGAGCGACACTGAAGAGAATGATGCTGTACATGGGTGAGAGGGAAGCCCCTGAAACTTCTGCTAACAAAAAGGAGGTTTAGAAAGAAGCTCGCTGTGTGTGAGAGAAAGATAATAGCCTTCACTAAGTGCTGATCAGGTGTCAGGCCCCATGCGAAAATCTTTGCTTTATAGATAGAATTCTCATTACAGTCCAGCAAAGTTAAGTATTATCATTATACCAGTTCACAGACCTGAGGCCAGAGAGTAAGCCATTTGCCACAAACCACAGAGGCAGTAAGTGGCATAGGCAGGATTTGAACTCGGGTCTGTCTGACCAGAGTCCGTGCTCCTATCTGCTTCCCACCCCACAGGGCCTCCTGCATTTTGCGGATATGGAATCTATTGCATTTGAGAGAACAAAAGACTTAGCAATATGGACTGGAGCTCTGAGACTGTGTGCCTGAGGTTGTCGACTTAGAGATTTTAGGCACAGAGTAAAATTTGAAGCTATTAAGGTGGGTATTTTTATAAATGAGAGAAGAGCCAAGAAATAGAAGAAGAATCTGAAGCGGGAGAGAGGGCAGGAGGGAGGCGATGTCACGTGTCAGAGGCTGCGGAGAACCGGGCAGAGAGATGAGCATCTTGAGTGAGCTCAAAGCCAGCTGTTCCCCTGATGGTGTGGGAGACCAGACCCAAAGGGCTGAGAACACGAGTGAGGAAATGAAAGAAGCAGGTGATTGTAGAGGGTCGGAGTTTTGCAAATCAGGTCGAGTACCCTTTTCTCAGAAACTGAGGCCCAGAGAGATGGGTTTGCCCAGATCAAAGAACTGGGTCTCCTGACACCCTTTTCATGGTGCCGTGCTGCCTCCCCTAAGGTGAAGGAGAGAGAGAATAGACGTGAAGACACGCCTTGGTGATTTGAAGACTCAGAGACTCCCATGTTTGAGGCAGGAGGAAGCCTCGCTGAGGGCAAGAGCGGGAAGGTTGGACAAGAACCAGAGGCCTGGCTCAGACCTTGGCCGTGACACTTACTAGCCCAGGGACTAGAGTGACTTCAGCTCTCTGTGCTTCACTTTCCTCATCTGTAAAATGGGGGTAACACCATCTACTTTCCGGGGTTGATGTGAGGGCGACAGGAATAACCCACATGAAAAAGCCTTGTGGACTGGAGCACACTACATAAATATGCGTCATTTTAATAGAGCAGAGATGCCCACCTACAGACCTTCTCAAAGGGATGAAAAGAGATGGGAAAGTCCCAGGGGAGAAAGAAAGGAGAGCCTTTCCTTTCTTTTATACGTGCCGTGTATTGTAACCATGGCCCCCGATGTGGCGTAGGGGTGCTGGTGAGGTGGCAATGACCCCGCAGCACCTGAGTTTCCAGAGCGCCAAGGGCCCCTGCCAAACACTCGTAACTTGGGAATATCTTTAATAGCGTCAGTGTCCAGCCGGCTACTACCATTGCCCGTTGTCATTGCAGGTTAATTTCGTTGCAGCTATTGATGTGTACGAAGATGGAGAAGCCGGTCTGCTCTTGTGTTACAACTGTAAGTGAAGGATGTGTTTCTCTCTTTATTTGCTAAAATCAACAGTTCTTTTTCGGGGCCGTTTAAAGAGACTTAACTTTAGATCATCCCTGTTTCCTTAACTGCACTCCAGGGAGCATCTAAAACTTGCGGTCCTACCTGGATCTCCCCATATGCCCCAGACCTCTTGGTGAGACCGTGTGAAAGCCGCTGCCTGTGGCCCTGTCTCCAAGATATGGGGGTGACAGTGGCTTCCATTTAGGGAGCCCTTACCGCATGCCATGTGCCGGGCTCAGTACGCTCTAGTCATGGTCTCTTTAATTCTCAGGTACCTGTTATTATCTGTAGTTTGGAGATAAGGCAACTGAGGCCTGGAGAAGTGAACTATCTTTCTTAAAATCATGCAAAACAGTAAAGTCGAGGTTCACATTTAAGGCCATCTTGACTCCAGCCCCCAAAACTTTAACCACAGTTACAGTTCTACGTTTTGCTATTTCTCAGGCATTACTGGAATCAGCTTTAACCTCTGTATGCGACCTCAACTGGGTTAGTTTGGGTCAGGTGGCAGGGTGGGTTTTGGGGAGACCAAAGGTGCCAAATAGTGTCTTTAAGGATTTCCAGCATTTCAAAGCTAATGTTGTACAACAATAAAAAGAATCTTTTTAAGGCTAAAATGATCTAAAAGTCTAAGATATTTTCCTGGGTAAGGCTGCCCAGTCTAACAAAAACAGGAAAACATTTTTTTCAGCCAACAATTTTATCAATTTAGAGTGGTAATGCTGGTTATATCACATGGGGCAGATATTTTTATTAATCTCTGATTAATAAGTATGGGAAAGCTAATTATTAGTAGAGAAATTTGGTAAACATCTTTCAAAATTTGAGGTTTATGGGGAATAAGTGAGGAGAAGGCAGTCACAGGGAGAGAGGCCTTTTCATCAGTAAATGGCTCTTTTATGATATTTTGGCCACAGATCTATCTAAACCCTCCTCAAAATAACCGGTGTTTAATAGCGCATTTGATGAGAAAGGCCACACCCAAGACAGCAGGAACAGGCCACACTGCCCATGCGCTGACTGGCATCCCTAGATGCCAGTGCTAGGTGGCTAGGCCACTACTGCCCTCTGTCCTAGATTTTGGGGGACAAAGGGGAATAGAGTTCTGATGTTTGAAGTCACTTCTATAAGATGTTAATCTCTGTAAAGTGTGGTCTTTTTACTTGATTGAAAAAAAATCTAAGGAAAACTTGTGGCAGAAGGCTTTAAAAACTACTGTAGATTTTTTTCTTTTAACTTTGAGCGGATGGGAGGGGTTTTAGGTGGGAGAGAAGTTAAGAGCAGAAAGATAGAGCAGGTGTTTAGAATGGGAGAGTGAATCCCAAAATGAAAAGGGAGCATAGACACAAATGCGAATGATATCCTCTCCGTGCCACGCGCCACATTCGAAGCTTACTGATTTGAGCAGGCAGCGTGCCGGAGGGCAGGGTGGTCCAGCCTCCTGACTCTGAGAATCTGGCATCGTGACAACATTCGTACCAGCTGTTTATAAAGAACAAGCAGATAGGATGCTGTTCTTGTTGCCTGGTTTTCATTTATCTAAGTATATAGGGTTGTAAGTATTGTCTCTTAACAAAAATGAGTCACTCTTGTTTCGTTGCAGACAGTTGCATCTATAAAAAAGTCTGTCCATTTAATGGGGGCTCTTTTTTGGTTCAACCCTCTGCGTCAGACTTCCAGTTCTGTTGGAACCAGGCTCCTTATGCAATTGGTAAGAAAACCCTTTGCCATAATAACCCTCTTCCCCTGCGTAGGTTCATCTGAACTGTTCGATCCTATGTAAGCAAACTCCCTGGCTTGCTGCTAAATTGCCATAAATTATGTAAATATGATGAGTACTCAGTGTTGTTTTTCTTCCTTAATTGCTTTTATTGTTCCCCTTTTGGGACTATTGTCTTCCACTGTACCTCCCAGTTCTTCTCTTGAGCATTTGCGATCAATTAAATCTCAGCTTTCAGTAGTGGGGTATCTTTCAGTATCCTTTCATTTCTGGGCCTCGCTTTTCTTTTTCAAAAATTCAAGAGCAAGAGTCCCAGCCTTAAATCACTGACTGACTTGGAGGAGCACAGTGCATTCAGTGCCATTCTTACATACTTTGAAGCTTGAAAATCTAGAATCACAGACACTCGGGTACTTTGCCACGCAAATGTCAGGGCACGCATGGTGGTGCCTCATTTCTGTGGTTCGAGAGCCACAGCCGGGCACATGCCTGGTGAGAGCCAGACCAGAGCCAAGAATGTTCGAGTTAGTGCTGTTTTCCTCAAAGTAAAAGTATTTGTTGAGAGGTCAACATAGGGTTTTGAGAGGCGAGCAGAGGAACCAATCGAAGATACTGAAGGCCTGGTTTGGCTTAATGACAGATTAGATATGGTTGAAAAAGAGAAAAATGACAGAAAGGTTGAAATGGCTGTCAGGTCCTGAGCAACAACACTGGAGTTCACTTCAGAGATCAAGGTGAGAGGCCTGGGTGTGACAGGAAGAGTCACCAGGGTGAAGCCCAGAGCACGGATGGGCTCACCGAGGAGAGGGCAGAGACAGCGGGCCAGCGCGAAGGGGGTCCCTCCAAAGTGGCCGATGAAAAGGCCAAAGTGGGGTCCCTGGGCAATCAGGGCAGTTGCGGTGCCTGGAGGTCAGTGTAACAATGATGTCAAGAAAAGGCGCTGGCCGTTAACAAATAATGCAGCAAACCCACTGAGCCCGAGGGACACTGTGAGGGCTGACGCAGCCCCTGCCCAGACACACATGACAGGAGGAGGAGGAGGAGGAACTGACAGGATGAAGAAAGAGCACAGGGCAGGTTTCCAGGCAGAAGGGCAGGAGTCAAAAGGAGGGGGTGTGTCCGCTCTAGTCCAGACAATAGGGGAAGTCGGCAGTGGTTGCCAGAAGATCTGGGTATAGGATTGCAGGAGGAAAAGATGGCAACGCGACATGGAGACGGCGCACACCGACTAGAAGCAGAAGCTCGGCAGCTAAGGGGGGCTGCCCTAGAAGCGAAGGTTCTCTTAGAATTAGGGGGCGTAGCCCATGAAGGACGAAGAGAAGCAGCCAGAGGACGGGAGAGATGGAAGCTGACAGAGAAGTGAGGATGGATGTGAGACAGCCATGGCACCGCCACAGCCACAAGCCGGCGGGCTGGGAGCTGACACGCCCCGTTACCTTGCAGTCTGTGCTTTCCCGTACCTCCTGGCCTTCACCCCCGACTCCATGGAGATCCGCCTGGTGGTGAACGGGAACCTGGTCCACACAGCAGTCGTGCCTCAGCTGCAGCTCGTGGCCTCCAGGGTGAGTAGACCTGGGGGTTTTTTTCTGTCTGAGGGCCTTTGGGAGCCCCACACATCTGGAGGCTTCAGGTCAGCACAGATACTCCTCTCGTCCACTTAGGGGATGATGACAGCACCGGTTGTGTGTCACATGCCAGAAGGGAGATGAAAACGCCGAAAACAGGCTCATGGGTTTGGTTTTCATGTGCAGCCCCTTGGGCTTCAAAACACCCCTCCTTGGTCTTGTTAAAAGTCACTCAGTGCTGGTGGCAGCTGGGGAGCGCTCAGCTGAAAAGAAATCCCCCATCAGACTGGGTCACTGCTGCCCTCAAGGACAGCCCACGTCTAGAAAAGCAAGAGCTGCAATAAATAGCGCCTTCTTCCTTTGCCGCTTTCTGTCCACAGTTTGAATTTGAATTCCAGGAACAACAGCTGAGTAATCCATGTCTAGTAACAGAATGTGAGCAAAACCCAGGGATGCAGGAACAAAGATGACTTCCCAAGGTGCCTTCTATCACTGGGCCATAATCCCTGAGTCAGCCCCACACAGCCTTCCCTGGCCCTGCCAGACTGGGCTGGTGCCCCTGCTGCACCCCCTGTGGCACTTTCTCCCTCCTGACATGCGCCACGTCTGGTGGTGGGTAGCTGTATTTGTCTGCCTGCCCCGCCACACTCACACTCCTGTGAGAGCAAGGACTGAGCCTTCCTTAATCACTAGAGTGGCCCCCATGGTGTGCTGGTAAATGTTTAACCAGCCCTCCAGAAAATGGGTGTGTATGTGTGTGTGTATATATACGCACATGCGGTAGTTGATTATAAATGTTACTGGATAATAAAATAGCTTACAACTTATGAAGAATAAAATATAGTGACTTTTATCTTAAAGTCCGTTTAGCCACTTGGCTCTCACAAAACACTTTTGTTAATTTTTGCTGAACTCTTATCTGTAGCCAACCTATGATTTTACAGCTGGAGTTATAGCTCAATCCATTCCTTCTTTTTCTAATAAGTTTGTCATTAAATCTGATACATGATCCACTATGAAACTGTCTCACCCTCGTACAAATCAATCATTAAACCAAAACTTTCCGTTTCAGCAGTGCCGATTAGACTCAATGCAACTTTAATTTAATCTTCATTATTACCACTTCTCCATCACGTTAAGTCTAGACAGCCAACAAAACAACAAATCAGCTCCGATTTGTAGCATTTGTCGGTTTCCATGGTGTAAACAGTCCCACCTTGATTGATTGCAAGCTCCCCATGTGACACCACAGAACACGGGGTCAGGAAGCGATACGCAGGAGCCACTGTTACACGGTATTTCCATCACTCAGACACTTGTTGCAAATAACCTCGAGAGCATAGATAATTGTAAGTGTAGGAAAATAATTCGGAATGGTTGAATTTGGATATTTAGTACCTTTGTTTTTAATATAATGTACGTGTATTTAAATTTAAGAATGGCTGTGTTTAACCGCCGGATTGCAAAATCCCTGAAAATCGGTGCGCATGCGTCAGTCCGAACTGGCTCCCTCACAACACTGCGGTCAACACCAGGGCCCCCACGTCCCGGGTGTGTGCGAGCGTGTGCGGACTCACTGCGTGTGTGGCCCGTTTCCCAGTCTAAGTGGACCTGGGAGTCCCCACATCCTTTCCGGTTCTGACACCCCAGGTGGCTGAGCTTCCTGTTGGAGAAGTGTGTGTTGTGTTCGTGTTTGCAGAAGGTGTGTCAACACATAGATAGAGGAAAGTGAGGGGAACTGAATACTCAGGAATAGTCTGAACTGGCTGCTCCGGGCTTTGCCCCGGGAGCCCCCACCCCAGGCATCATCACTGCACTGCGCACCCCGAAGATAAGCTGAGCGGCAGGGAACATTTGGAGGCTTTGCAGTGATGACAGGAGGGCCAGTGGGTGCAAGGCAAGCGTGGTAACGTTTCTCTTTCTTTCTAGTCGGATATATACTTCACAGCCACTGCGGCCGAGACTGAGGCCTCATCTGGAGGCAGCTCCAAGGGGGCCAGTGCCCACAATTCTCCTCAGACACCCCCAGGCCGAGAGACCCCAGTGCTTCCTTCTTCCCTGGGGGAAGGTGAAGTCCATTTTTACTGTCTTATTAATAGATATTTTTAGTCTATTCCGATTGCTCTAGTTCATTTGTCAAACATCGACATGTGCTTACTGCCTAAGAAGTCACTATTTCAAGCCATTTAAAAAAAAAAACTTGCATTCTGAATGCACTGGTTGCATTCTTAAGAAACTTGGTGCTAAAAACAACAAAAGTTCCCGTAGCGAAAAAAACTTTTCAGTGAGGAGAAGGGAGTTGAGGGCTAGGAGATTCTGACTCGCCCGAGCAGCTGTTTTTCCTTCAGGGATGTTAACTACCTAGCAGGTTTTATAGCTACAAGGTTATAGCCATAAAACCTACACATTACTCAGCACACCCAGTCTTTCACGCTGTCTAGCTTTGCCCACGAATCCCAGAAGCCTTTGCTGTGGTTACTAGGTCGCTCTGAACACAGCTTTTCCCAGCTTCTCACCACATCAGTCGTCTTTATGGCTTCTTGTTACCATAAAGCACGGGGCTCCCCGGGCGGGTGGCTGTGCAGCTGGGTGTGCTGCAGCTGTTTGTGGTTCTTGTCTGCTCATTCCTCCTGTGCAGACATAACCAGTAGTGGGTGCATTTAATCCAATTTACCCATGGAAACAGTGCCCTTAGGAAACAAAGCCAGCAAGCACCATCACTGTATTGCTCCTCATGGGACATCAGCGTGTGACATAAAATCTTCCTTCATGACAACTATGTTGAGGAACCAAAGGTTACCCTCTGGAAGATAATATGAACTTTTCTTCAAGTTCTGATGTCCTTTTCTAAATCATATTTCAGGTGAAATTCAGTCCAAAAGCCTGTACAAGATTCCACTCAGAAACCTTGTCGGCAGAAGCATTGAGCGACCTCTGAAATCACCCTTAGTCTCCAAGGTCATCACCCCGCCCACCTCCATCGGCGTTGGCATCGCTGCCATTCCGGTCACTCACTCCTTGTCTCTGTCCCGAATGGAGATTAAAGAAATAGCAAGCAGGACCCGCAGGGAGCTGCTGGGTAATGGCTCTCGATTTTTCTGTTTTCAGTTTGTAAATATACCAGCTGGTTTTATCTTTGGATATTCATCATCCTCAAAAACAATGAATAAGTTAAAAAGAAACTGGGTTAAGAACCCCAGCCTTACTTCCTCTCCTGGCCTGTGGAATTAGTTGTTCAATATCACACTTGTAAAAACTAGAAAACTTTCTTTAGCTCTAATCTCCCATTGAGTGATATCTCTAGGTTAAAAGTATCAATAGGCATCCTTTTGCCTAAGAAATGAAGTTCAAATTCTTTGTCCAAATTCTTTTTCCCTTTAATAAGGGATTTATAAATAAATTGCAGTGCACCTCCACCAAGGAATACTGTACAGTTTATCCCCAACAATAACGTGTTGATCTATAATTATTGGTGTGGAAAGCTGCCCAAAGCAATGGGTAAAGGAGGAAAAGGCAGTTTGTAAATAGTGTGCCTCGTCTGATACAACTTTTAAAAAATACAAGTATCTTTATATATATGATTTCCTAGAAAAAAAAATGTCTAGAGGGGTTTACGTACTACGGTTCTGAGATAACATTGTATATTTGTATATGCAAAAGTTTAAATTGACCATGTTTGTCCATATGTGTGGTGCAGTTCAGTGATCACTTTTCAAAGCCCCTGGACCATGGGGGCAGGTCTGTGGGGATGTCACAGATGCAAGATATTGGTTAGGCCCTTCTCTCTCGAACTATAGCTGGGAAACCAGACCAGAGAAACATAAAGTACCATGGTAACTATGAAAAGGCTAGACCATTATAAAGCTTTTTGTTCACAATTGTGAAAATAAAATGAGGAAAAATGGAAGTGCTATGTTAAGCCAGTACAAACTGGTTTGAAAACTGGAATTGGGAGCTGCGTGGCATAAAACTGTAAGGACAGTGGCCTTAGCACATAACCTGCCCTGCTGTCCTGTTTCCAGAGCAACTGGAGAAGGGATCTGGGGCCATGTGACAACGCAGGCTTTGACACTGACAAAGCCCATACGTTCCAGAAGTTGCTGCCTTCCACTGTGCGTTTAAAATACGTGTATTACTATTTTTAACCCACTGTTCCCTATGAAAGCTTGAACTCTAGCCACTGTTTTACACGCCACTGGGCTTTTCCGAAACTGAACCTCTGAGTTGGAGAATTCATTACCAGTGGTAGGATTATTAGAGATTTTCTCTCCTTCATTAGACTCTTCTGAGTCTAGTTGATTTTTTAACTTTCTTTGGCAATACATACATTCTTTATCACCAGGAAAAAAACCTCCCACCAACAAGAAAATCAATTATTTAAAAATATATACTTTATTATTTCTTCCTGATTCTATCCCAATAACGCACCAATTCCCAACCAAGAAGAAAAGGACATTCTGTCTCCACGGCAGCCCTGTGATGGTGACCCTCTGATCTGTGACTCTCCCCTGCAATCCAGGGCTCTCCGATGAAGGTGGACCCAGGTCAGAAGGAGCACCAAAGCCCAAATCAAAAGTCCGGAAGCAGTCAGAAGAAAACCAAGGAGGCCCCAAGCCAGGGACAGTGAGATCAACTAGCAGCGACAGGTAAAGAAAGCAGCAGCCCCCGGCAGCCCTGCTCAGGGTGGTGGCCCTTCAAGTCACAGCACTGTCACGAGGCCCTGTCTGCTGACTGACGAGGTAGACCAGCTTGACCAGCTGACCTTGACCAGCCACGCAGAGGGTCAGCGTTCAGCTCCTCTCTTAGGCTCCGCAGAGAGCACAGCCTGCCAGGGAGGGGCCCCAACAAATGGGGGACCTCACTAGCAATCCCACAAGTGCTCATTATAATACAGCAAGGGCCGGCCGAGTGGCTCAGTTGGTTAAGAGCTCGCTCAAGAGTTTGAGCTCTGAGCAACAGCGGTTCGAGTCTAGCCCGAGCTGAGCAGCCACTGAGCTGCCAACAGGTAGCAGGATGGCTCAGCTAAAAAAAAAAATTAAAAAAAAAAAATACAGCAAGAGACTTTTCTTTTTTTGCTCACCAAATTGAGAGATTTTTTTTTTAAACAAAAATGCTATGTAAGAGTGAGGGGGAAAGGCACGCTCCAATACTTCTGGTGGGAATAGAAATAGCCACAGCCTCTCTGGATGGCAGTGGAGTCACATGTCAATGTATACTTGTTGAATCCCACTGATTTGTCCCCTAAGATTCTACGTGTCCCTCAAGCAGCATCGTACCTCCTCCATTCATTCATTCGGCACATGAATGAAGTGCCTGGCACTGAGCTGGGTGTTGGAGATGACCTTCAGGGGGTTCACAGGCCAGCGGGACGGCCAACAAAGACACTCTAGGAAGGACAGCATTCCAGGGTGGCAGGTGATGGAGAAGAATGAGGGGTGCCATCCACCCACACCTGGGGCAGGGAAGGTCTCAAACATCAGGAGAGGCTAAGCCAAGTCTCATAAACCACTTGGGCATCAGCCTGGCAGAGAGAAGGACAGCACTACACATGCTTTAATCCGACAAACCTTTGCTGAGCCTCTACTATGTGACAAGGCCCCTGCAATCGTGAACGTTGCATTCTAGTGAGGAGAAACAGACAATAAACCTATAAACAAATAAGCACATTAAATCATTTCCAGTAGTGACAAGTGCTGTAAGGAAATTTCAAAGATTTAAATGATGGGGGTGGGGAGGATAGGAGGTCTACTTGGAGAGGGTGTTCAAGGAAGGCTTCCTGGAGGAAGTGGCACTGAACTGAGCAAGAGAGACACGGAGACATAGGAAGGGGCTGAGAGGAAGCTGGAGGGGTCAGCACAGCCAGCTTCTGTGTCCTGTGATCCTGTGGATAGGAGTTTCAGCCTTGTCCTCAGGCCATGGGGGGCCATGGGAGGATTTGAGGCAAAGAGTAACATTATAAGTATTGGCACTTGAGAAAGGTAAACAATGCTTCACAAACACCTCTGATGTGTCACCACTGACCTTTAAAATTCACAACCCATTACTTAGGGCTACCTGACTGCAGAACTCAAGCTCTGTTGGGGTGACGGGTGACTCCTGCACTTCCCCACTTCTCCCCCATAATGGGTGGAGTTGTGGGGGAAGATAGGCTAGGAGTTCAAATGAGCAGGAAACTACCAGACACAATAGGCCCAGGCCAGTGCTCCTCAAGGGTCCTTTTTCAGTGACTTTTCTCTTCTAGGATCACATCGGGCTCCTTGGAAAGTCCTTCTACTTCCGAAGCCAATCCCGAGGGGCATTACCATTCGACAAGCTCCGACCAGGACCCTGGGGCAGACAGAGAAGGCAGCCCAGTCTGGGCCGGCAGCCCCTTTCAGCTCACAGCCTCCTCAGATGAAGACATTATTGACTTGAAGTAAACAGAGTCCGAATAGAGTTTGCCACCTTTAATTTTCTTATGGAGGTTTATACTCTTTAATCAGTTCTGACATCATTTCTCAACAAAATGTGGCTTTTAGCCTGTCTGCGAACTATTGGACCAAACCTTCAGCACCCTTGGCCAATTTGGGTCACTCTCCAGTGTCCAGTGCCATCTTTCTCGACCTTTGTTTCTTTCTGTTCAGGAACCATCAGTCCCCTTGTAATACAGGTGGTAGATTTCATTGAGATTTTAGATTGAAACTTTGAATAAATCAAAAATGTTCATTCTTATCTTACTGCAACCTTCTCTTATATTTTATATACTCGTACTTAGATGGAAAAAATTATTTTTTCATTAGTTTTGATTTATGTCACATAATGTGTTTCTTTTATAAAGAAAAGCCATTGCTTTTAAAATTTGTTATAAAATAAGTTTTCTTTCTGTACGTTTGGCCCGTTACTGTTCAGTTCACTGTGATTGGAACCAGCTATGTTCCTGCCTGTCGACTTTTAAGAAAAGCTGAATGGTTAGATCTTAGAAGCTCCTGTTTTCTTCTTCTTTGTGTCTCACGAAAAATAATAAGGTATAGGAGCTTGTTAAGAGTCTTACAATTATTTTGTTTGGTGTTTATTGTTACCCTCAAATCATATAACCAGGGAACAGTTATCAAAATTATCACTCTCAAGTCCCCTCCTCTCATTCGGGTCTGCTTTTGCCCTTTACATGAACCAAATGATGATCCTTCCTCTTGTCATTTATCTGCCTTCTGTTGCTCCCTCCTCAACGTGAGAAGAAAATGTGGATTTGGCCAAATGTAAATGAAATGGTGACATGTCAGCCTCTAGCCAGGACAGATTGAAGGGGGAAAATCTAGTTTCACTGACATTGTAAAACATTTTATCTGTGCGAAGCAGGTAATTTACCTTTGGCTTTAGTCTGACAATTCCATTTTATTATATCTCTTCTTGCCTATATTCCCCATCAAAAGAAACTTGAAATCATTTCCCCTTGCAAAGCAGCTCTAAGGAGTTCTGCAGTTCCTCTCTGTAAGTGCAGAGAGCTGTGTGTGACATGACCTTGATCTGACAGATTGGACAGAAGTTTGCATCCTGTCTCCCTGCCTGTCGCACAAACAATTCGACATAATAAATCCAAGCTGAAGGCTGCCTGGTTCCCTTCAGCAGAAGGCAAGAGTAAGAAAGCAAATTAGTAATAAAGTAAAGACAGTGCTTTTGGGGTAAACCCAGGTGAGACGTTTACAACCAAATGTGCCTTCTTGTGGTCTTTGCAGCACTCAGCATTCCCACTCTTCCTTTGTGTTCCGTTATGCCCTTATCATAGATAGGGGAAACACACAAGACCAACTACATACTAGATCTCAACCTCACCAAGTTTTGTGAATTAGGTTTTATTATTTTTTGCTTTTCAAATGAGGAAACAGGCTCAGAAAGGGGCAGTGGTTTGAACCTGTGCATTCTCTGACCCCAGAGCTGTGCTCTCTCCCGTCTACCATACAGAGCCAGGCCTGTGGCAGTTGGATCCAGCTGGTGTTTTTCATGTTAAACTAAACTGGAAGCTTTGTGGGCTTGAATGTGTGTTTTTCCTGTCATCTTTTTTCTCCTGGGGTTTCTTGCTTCTCAGCCTGGAACATAAAAACCAAGGGCTTTGTAGACCATTTTTTTCAAAATACGGGCGGCATCAGAGACACCCCATGGTCTGACAAAAGTCACAGATCTGAGGAATGAATGAATGTAGAAAGGACAAGAATTGGACCCTACTAATCAGACTAGTGGTGCTTGGCTTGTAAAAGGGAGGTCGGGAGGCTGCTCTGGCAGCAATATCTGCTTATAAAGGTTAGGAAGTGGATGCTGTACACCCACGGGGAAGGAGACGACCAGCCAGAGGCCAGGAGCGGTTTTGTACGGATCTCCTGCTCAGAGTGCTGGCTGGAGCTAGCTGGGCTCACTGGAGCGTCCTGTCTACGTAAGCCTCTGCATATACGTCACTGGCTGAGTTACAAAATAAACCATCTACCTGAGCAGTTTGACCATGGAGTTTGAGGCATGGATCCACTCTGCAAACACCCAGTGCTGTCCAGAGGAGAAGGTCACGTCCATGAGGGGAGGGAGAGAAGTAAAAGGTGATCACAATGCCAGTGATAAGTGCTGTGGTAAGAACTGATAACTCCAGCACAAGATGCTGAGTAAGCACAGAGGGGAGGTGGCCTAAGTCTTTAAAGATAGTACAGTCAGGTGACTGCACTAGGTCAAACCACTATCCTGTCACACTGGCTAGCATTTTAGTGCTTTCCATGTGTTGGGTTTTATATACATTGCCCCTTCTCAAAAATCTCTGGGAAGATAGATACTGTCATCCCCACTTAGAGATGAGGAAACAGAGGCCCAGAGAAAGATTAGAAACTAAGCCTCTTACTCTCATAGTCCTGGTTCTTTCCACAGCACTCTACTGCAGCTGCCAGAACCCAGAGTGTTGGGTACAAATGGCTAGATTCTCCAGAGCCCTGACCTCATCCTCGCCTCCAGCAGTGACGTAGGTACACACGTATAGAGACTGGCTATTAACATCCGCAGGGGACTCCCCGCAGGGGACTCCAAGTTGGGAGGTATTTACATGAAGGTTCAAGAGTCAGGATTACCCGTGAAGTGAGTGGAAATTAGCAGGGTGCGTGGAGCTCATCATGTAAGCCCAGATCAATCACACATGCTTCACGGCAGACCCCGCTCCACACAGGTCCTCAGCACCTGGAGGGTCTAGTCGTCGTACGCTCTGAAACCGTCAGCAATCTGAGAGCTCCAAGTGGTGACCGGCACAAAGGTAGGCTGCGGCGCACAGGGCCACGCCTCCGCCCAGCAGCGCAGCTGGAGCGCGCAGAGCCAGGCTCTGCGTCTGAGAAGAGAAAGAACAGCCCAGGCAGTCATTTGGAGAACTCCCGCCCTATGGCTCTCAGTGGGCAGAGCTGGGCCAGGCGTAGGGGTCAGGCTTCTCCTGCTTAGGGCCCCAGAGAGGCGGTTAACGCGGAGGCGGAACTGCAGACCGGACCACTGGAGAGCAGTTGCAGCTGCCCAGAGTGAGAGCGGGAAGTGCTGGGCGAGGCCCACGTGCTCCGCCTTCGTCCGCCTCCTAGCCCCGTAGGTTAAAGCTAGACTGAGAGACGACTCCAGGCACAAATACAATCCCTGCCCTCCACCCTCATTGGCTTGAGACAGCTTTTTGACCCCGCCTCCTGCTCGCACCACGCTCCTATTGGGTGATTGTGCTGGAGGCTTAAAAACAAACTCCGCCCCACCTATACATTGGATAGCTCTGTCCTAGGGGCGGTTCCAGTGCGCTTCGCCAACAGGCTCTTTGCTTCCATTGGTCTGCTTTGATTTGAAGGCGGCTCCTAGCGCAGTCGCTAACTCCGCCTTGCGTTCCCATTGGCTGCTCCCACACCACACCGATTCCGGCCCCAAAGCCGCCCAGAGTCGGCTATTGGCCTGCTCTGCCCGGAGAGGCCAGTGCGGGCCGCAGTCGCGGGACCCGTGGCGGTTCGCGCGTCAGAGCTGCCCCAGCAAGCGTTGGCCGCGGACATGACGCCTGAGGACCAGGAAGAGACCCAGCCGCTTTTGCGGCCGCCAGACAGGTGAGCGGGCGAAGGGAACCGTTCTCTGCCCTCCCGCTAAGCCCAAGCCGGCGCAACTCATCGACCGCCCTGTCCCGGCAGCGCTCCCCGCGGCCGCGGCGTCTTCCTCGCCGCCTTCGCCGCTGCCCTGGGCCCTCTCAGCTTCGGCTTCGCGCTCGGCTACAGCTCCCCGGCCATCCCGAGCCTGCGGCGCTCCGCTTCTCCGACCCCGCGCCTCGACAACGACACCGCCTCCTGGTTCGGGGTGAGACCCCTGGCTGGGACCCTCCTCCTCCCACCACTAAGAGGAGCGCCAGGAACCTCCACGTCCACCCTCTCGGACGTGCGATGGCACCCTCTCCCTGCCTTGCTTCAGGCGGGCACTGAGACCTTCCGCTGAGTACGTCCCAGTTCCCCTGCGAGGGGTCGCCCTCTTCCAGACCACCAGCCAGGGAGCCCCATCCCCTTCCCTCTGAGGCCGCCGGGAGTGGGTGGAGGGCAAGGTTGGGCCATGATCCCCTGGCGTCCCCTCCTCAGCCGGCGGTCGCTCCTAGGCAATCGTGACCCTGGGCGCCGCGGCGGGGGGCGTGCTGGGCGGCTGGCTGCTGGACCGCGCCGGGCGCAAGCTGAGCCTCCTGCTCTGCACCGTGCCCTTCGTGACCGGCTTTGCTGTCATCACCGCGGCCCAAGATGTGTGGACGCTGCTCGGGGGCCGCCTCCTCACCGGCCTAGCCTGTGGCATTGCTTCACTAGTGGCCCCGGTAAGTGTCTCCCAGCCTGCGCCCTGGGACCAAGGAGAAGGAGCAGATCTGGGGGCGTGGTTCTCCCCGGGGGGCCTCCTAGGTGCCCCTTATCTGCTTTGTCTCTCTTACTGGTGCAAGTAAGGAAGGAGCCACTGTAGTTAGCCCCGTTTGCAGTTGAGGTAAGTTTCAGAAACGTGAAGTCCTTTGTCCGGACACAAGTAGTCAGTGGTGAAGCGATAACGTAAACCCAGGATTGTGCCACTTATCCCGTCTCTCTTTTGCTCTACAAATAAGATGGGATCTGTGAATGGTCAACAGAAGCCTCGCAGTACGGTCTGGATCCCCCTTGTCTTCAGACCACTGACTACAATTTAGCAGGAAAATCCTGTTCTGCTTTGTCCCCAGGGGCAAAGGCTGCTGGGACCTGATTCCCCTTTGCTGCTTACACACCAGTCCTCCCGCTGCTTCCCCTGCTTCTCTCTGCCAGCTCCTGACCCACCACTGCCCAGGCTGACTTTGGAGCCACACACACCTGGGTGACATCCCAGCTCTGCCACGTCCTGGGCCAGAGGACCGCTCTGTGCCTCACTTCCCTCCCCTGTAAAGTGGGAACCTCGTGTGGTGGGTGAGGATTCAAAGATTTCGCACAGACAGACAGCCCTGGTGTGGCTTGTGGAGGACTTAGACCCTAGCAGCTGGGATTGCTGGGTAACCAATGAACTTGATCATGAGCTTGGTGACCTACCCACCACACCCAGTCCTGGTTGAGATTGAAAGCAATGGCTCAGGGTCCTCCCTGATCACCCCTTTGCACCTGCCTCTCATTTCATGACCACATTTGCTAGGCAGCAGCTGGGTTGGATTTTATGCTTTGGGTTTTTTACTGGGCAAAAATACACCTAAGTCACGTAATAAGGAGTGAAATAACCTAGAAGCACAGACGAGGCCTTTGTGGCCCCTGAGCACAGAGGGAGCAGTGGCAGTCACTGCTAGCGATTGAGGCAAAGAGTTTCTTTGACTCCAAGGTACATACCAAAGTGTGGTCATTGGGTCAGCAGCCTGGTGTCACCTGGAACTATTCAGAAAGGCAGAATCTTGGGCCCCATCCCAAACCTACTGCATTTTTTCAAGAATATTCATGCAATTAAATGAAAGTTTGAAAAGCTCTGTGTCCTCACCCACCCATTACCCCCACCACACACACACAACAGCCATATATATATATTTATATATCTCCTTATTCCCCTTTAAACACCTGCCGCAGATCACTTGGTGGGGTGCAGGGAGGTATGAGGAAGGCTCTGCTGACCTGAGATTGCAATTAGGGGCCCACCGGGCCTACAGCAGCCCCAGTTGAGGTTCTCATCTTAATTGCCGACAGGTCTATATCTCTGAAATTGCCTACCCCAAAGTGCGGGGGCTCCTCGGTTCCTGTGTGCAGCTGATGGTCGTCATAGGCATCCTCCTAGCCTACCTGGCAGGTAGAGTTTTCACGTTATCTCTTTTGATCCCTGTTAATGGCCACTTTACAGATATAGAAACTAAATGTCACAGAGGTCAAGGGACTTGTCCAAAGTCACACAGCCAGTGCCCAAGGTCCTAGGTTCCCAGACCACCTCCCTGAGTGAGACCCTGGGACTGGTGGGTCTTGTGACTAAGTTCCAGGGAGGGCTGGCAAGGTGATTTTCTCATCTTTCCGGGGCAGAAACCCATTCCAGGGGTGTGGGAAGGACTGACTGGTTAGGTCAGTACCTCAAAGTACGGTGACAAACAGGATTCCAGGGGCAAGTGGAGCACCCCAAAAGTCTTTAGCCCAGGAGCTTGGCAGGCCCAGGCATGTCTCCCTCAGAAATATCAGTACTGGATTTGCAGCATGAAGGAGGCATGTGGCAGGGACCGAAAGGTCAGAGCTGGGGCCAGCATGAGGAAGCTTCCAGAGGCAGACATGTTTCTACCAGAACTGGGTCAGAGAGAGGACAGGCTTCAAGTCCGACAGTCCCAGATTAGGGGATGGCCTCTGCCACTTACTAGCCGTGTGACCTTGGCCTAGTCACGCCGCCCCTGGGAGGCTTGCTTTCCCAGTCATTAAGTGAGGGTAACCCCACCTAGTGCAAGGCTGGTGAGAGTTTAAGTGACACAGGAAAAGTGCCTACCCCAAATGAGAATCAAGGGATGGCATGAGAACTGGGGGGGGGGGTTGTGGGTTTCTGGCCTAGGCCACGTGCCCTCTGAGTCTTTAGAGTGGTTGATATACAGACTCATGGGCTTCCATTTTACCTACTTCCCATCGTGACTCTAATTCAGAGTCCTGCCAGCAATCTGGCTGCCTTGGGGGCCAGCAGTGTGCCAAAGCCCTGCTGTGTACAGACGCTGACATTTGGGACAGACACGTGGGTATCGATACACCCATAGAATTATCTCGTCCATCATAATCTGAACTTTCATTGATCAGTTTCTGTGACTTTTGATCCTCTGGTGTTCAGTGAAAAGTACCCCCCACCCTGTCCCCCATCCTCTCCTAGGGAGCCAGCCTTGCCTGCCTCTTGGTGGCCTTCCAGAAAGTCTGCATGTATGACTATGCATATTTGTTTTCCTGCCCCGACCTTTTACACAAATGGTGTCATGTCATACCCATCGTTACATAGCGAGCGCCTAGACCTTTGTTTAATGGCTACATAAATATTTGCTGAGCAGATGTAGCATAATGATGTATTCACCATCATTTCTACAACATTTCAACAACAATAATGACCAGATCAGTAAGAAGCACGAGGGTTGCCATGCAGAGGCAGTGAGGTCCCCACTCTTTGAGCTGAGTCCCTGGGGTTGGCAAGGGGACAGGCCCTCGTGGGGAAAGCCCTGGCCGGCTCACTTTGACTCTGACGTCTAACCTTCCAGGCTGGGTCCTGGAGTGGCGCTGGCTGGCCGTGCTGGGCTGTGCGCCCCCCACCTTCATGCTGCTGCTTATGTGCTGTATGCCGGAGACCCCACGCTTCTTGCTGACTCAGCACAAGCGCCAGGAAGCCATGGCTGCCGTGCGATTCCTGTGGGGCTCCGAGCAGGGCTGGGAAGAGCCCCCTTTTGGGGTTGAGCACCAGGTAAGAAAGAGGGTGGGGAGGCAGAGTTGGGATGGCCAGTGAGGTAGCACCCCCTTTGCAGCCAGGAGAGGCCAGCACAGCCTGTTCCCAAGGCTGCATGTGCACGCTCACACACACGGGGGGCAGTGCTGTCCTGTGTGCGAGCAAGCAAAGGCCTGCTCGAGCCCCACTCCTTGGCTGGAACCCAGGCTTGGAGATCCCTGGGAAAGCTTGAGCCTTGATTTTATTGTTCCAGGAAGAGAAAGGCTGGGCGGGATCCAAGGGCACCGCAGGGCAGACTTGAGGACTTCGATTTTTAAGTGGGGAGTTGCAGGGCAGGGGAGATGATCTCTGCCACTTACCTGCCGTGTGACTGTCCCATTGTTGAGCCGTAGTTGCTTCATCTGTAAAATAGGAGTCAGCACATGCCTGCTGGTGAGCATTTGGGGGGGGCCGGGCTGGCGCTCCACCCAGGCCCAAGGCTGGTGGGATTCTGGATTCCCGGCCCTTTGCCCATGTATTCTCTTTGTGGCTCCCCAACAAGTCTGGAAGGGACATGAGGAGGTGAGGATCTTGTCACCTTACAAATGGGGAGACTATAGTGATACAAAGACCTGTCTGGACCCTGTCGAGGCCCTGGTGGGGCCAAGACAAGCTGAGGTTCATTCTTCCACGAGGCCTTCGGGTGGGAGTCTCAAAGCCTGGGTGCCCCCGAGGAGCGGGGAGAGAGAAGTCCTCATGCCGTTTCTGTCGAGCAGGGCTTCCACCTGGCCCAGCTGAGGCATCCTGGCATCTACAAGCCCTTTGTCATCGGCATTTCACTGATGGTCTTCCAGCAGCTGTCAGGGATCAACGCTGTCATGTTCTATGCAGAGACCATCTTTGAGGAGGCCAAGTTCAAGGTAAAGAGGCCTCTGCCCTGGACATCCAGCTGCCGTGTGGGTGTGGTCTCGTCCCAGGGTCTGTGCCTGACCCGCCTTGGTCCGTCTCTGCAGGACAGCAGCCTGGCCTCGGTCATTGTGGGCACGATCCAGGTGCTGTTCACGGCTGTGGCGGCCCTCGCCATGGACAAAGCGGGGCGGAGGCTGCTCCTGGCCTTGTCAGGTGAGGCCCAGGCCGGGCTCCCCACTGCACGCTTGAGGGTCTTTGCCGAGGCCGCCATGCTGTGGGAGGAGGAGGCCAAGTGTCCCTGAGAACAAGACTGAGATTTAACGGGAGCTCTCGCTGAGCGCTCGCTCCAGCCCAGCCAGGCCTGCGCTAATGGTGTCACTGCGTCACACCTTAACCTTTACAGTGAACCTACAAAGAAGGCGCCATCAGGGCTCCAGCTTATAAGGAGGAAACTGAGGGCCCAGGAAGCAAAGTGACTCGGAAGCTAGTGGTCTTTTTGGGCAAGTGACTTTACCTCTCTGAACCTCAGTTTCCCCTCCAAAAGAAGGGTAATGATGGGCCATGGCGAGGATCAGGGGATCAGTGGATGGTCTGCGTGAGTGCCCACGAGCACTTTGCGCTGTTGGGGAAAGGGGTTCAAACAGTGCTGCTGCCGCTGTTACTGCTCCTACTCCCTCGGGCCAGAGAGGGTCTGCTTCTGGGGGCTTCTTGGAGTTTGTTGAGGTTTGAGGTCCAAGCCCAGGGCTGGTAGGGCTGGGGTAGGGTGGGTGCTGCCCAGTCAGGGCTCCTGGGTACCGCTCGCTGCCCCTCTCGGAGGCATCCAGGCCACATTGCTGTGGCCACACTGCACTGACTCCAGCTCCAGGGGCCACATGCCCGGGCTTTGGGCCACTTCCCCCAGCGCCCTGCCCACTGCCACCCTCCGCCCGCAGGTGTGGTCATGGTGTTCAGCACCAGTGCCTTCGGCGCCTACTTCAAGCTGTCCCAGGGTAGCCCCAGCAACTCCTCACATGTGGACCTCTGGGCGCCCGTCTCCATGGAGCCCACCAATGCCAGTGTGGGGCTGGCCTGGTTGGCAGTGGGCAGCATGTGCCTCTTCACTGCTGGTGAGAGGGGCCCCATGAGTGGGGAGGTTGGGTGGGGGGCGATGGGGATGCCCTGTCACTGCTGGGTTCCTATGGCTCCCAGCAAGTCCAGGCCCTCCTGGCCTCACCTCTCCATACAGGTCCCCACCTCTGCATTTATACCCCTGACCATGTGCCAAATACCGAGCTAAGCCCTTCTCTGTTCCTTTCACTTAATCCCACAGTAGCACCCTGAGAAGGCCCCATCATTATCCCGTTCTATAGAGAAAAGACCTGTGTGTAAGAAGTGTAGGGCCTGGCTAAGACCGCCCAGCGGGAAGGCGCAGAGCTGATGGACCCAGACAAGTCCAGGGCTCCTCAGCCCACACCGGGCAGCCCAGCGAGGCTTCAGCCCAGAGGTGTGCTGCAAGCCAGGGGCCTGGCCCCTGCGGGTGCTAATGTCTTGCTCCCCCAGGCTTCGCTCTGGGCTGGGGGCCCATCCCCTGGCTCCTCATGTCTGAGATCTTCCCTCTGCACGTCAAGGGTGTGGCCACCGGTGTCTGCGTCCTCACCAACTGGCTCATGGCCTTTCTGGTGACAAAAGAGTTCAGCAGCCTCATGGTGAGTATAGGCCTCCCCCTGATGGCCTCCCTGTCATAGTCAAGAAGCACTTTTTAGAATTACTCTTATTGCAAAAGACTCAGGGTCAGTGGCCTTGTGTACAGGCTGAGGCGCCACTATCCTTGGACACCAGCCATCTTGGTCAGCGGGGAGGGGGGAGACAGACGAGCTGGGGCAGGTGGGGAACCCAGGCTGGGACCACTTGGAGCCTTCAGGTTGTCTTGGTGGAGGACAGCGGGGCACGCCTCCCCCATTGGATGTTGGGGACACGGGTCGGAAAATAAGGACAACTCTGGCTTTGGAGTCCACAGGCCTGGGCTCTAATCCCGCCTTAGCCATTTCCCTGCTGTGTGACCTTGGCTGTGCTGCTTACCTTCTCTGAATCAGCTTCCTTGATTGAAAATGGAGGAGGGTGACAGTGCTTTCCTCTTAGGGTTGATGGGAGCATCAGTTTAGTTCAACATTTTGCCGCCTTCTCATGGATGGACTGACACAGACACGGTCCCTGCCTAAGGGGCTTCCCAGCCCATAGCAGGGTGGGTGGGTATGGTGCTGGAGAAGATAGAGAAGCCATTTGTTCAGTTATTCGTTCCCCCCAGGTCTCCTGGCACGTACCACATCCTGGTCTGTTCAAGGTACCGGACAGCAATGAATGAGATGGATAGGGTCTCCTTTATGACAAGGGCTGGGACGGCAGTGGACAGTGGTGGGAGAAGAAACCACCAGGAGGCCGGGGTGGGGGAGGAGGAGGCAGATCATGAGAGGCGTGGACGCCCAGGACTGGCCCGGAGTCTGTCCAGGGCCCGGGCCCACGCAGGCAGGGCTGCCCCGGGGAGCATTTCAGGAAGACCAGGGCAGAGCAGAGGCCTGCAGGTGAAATTACTTGCTGGGGACTTGAAGGGGACCAATAGCAAAGGAGGGAGGAGGTAGCAAAGGACGTAACAGTGACCCAGGGGTGTACAGTGTCCAAGAGGCAAAGAGAAGGGCTTCAAGGAGGAGGGGAGGGGTCACCAGTTCCCAGAGGAAGAGTTGCTGAGAAGCAAGGGGCCGGTGGTCTGGAACCTGGACGTCACTGGGGCTGTGCTGGGAGGGTGGACAGGCTCTGACCAAAGGAAACAGCTCACTTTTCCCTCCATGCCTGTGGGCCTGAGTGTCCCCATGTGCTCACACTGTCCCATCCCAACCTGCTGTTAGCTCAGCCATTCCCTCCAGCACCAAGAGTCCTCTGGGGGCAGGGACCTTGAAGGGCAGGGCCAAAGCTAAGCATAGAGGGTCGGTCTGTGGGTCAGGAGCCCAGCTGTCACTCGACTGGGTCTCGGACACGTGGGCAGTCACTTCATCACAGTGAGCTCAGTTACCCGGCCACACACCATCCACACCGGGCAGTGCTCAGCCCAGGCCCCTGACCTCTGCCACGTCCACTCATGGCCTTTCCCGTCTCTCTGCAGGAGGTGCTCAGGCCCTACGGCGCTTTCTGGCTCGCCTCCGCCTTCTGCATCGGCAGTGTCCTATTCACTTTATTCTGCATCCCTGAAACCAAAGGAAAGACTTTGGAGCAAATCACAGCCCATTTTGAGGGGCGATAACAGCCTGTTCCCGGGATTCGCTGCCCCTCCTAGCTGGGCTGGCTTGGGCTTTGGAGGGGACAGAGCCTGCCTGTGACTTCAAGCAGGGCTTCAGCCAGATCCCGGATCCCCTGCCCACCCCCAGGGAGCCGGGATCCAGGACCGCAGGCTCTCGGAGCCTTGCCCTCTGGGGTCTCTCCTTCCTGCCCAGCTCTCTATCGCCCCTCGAGCCCCGGGTCCAGTTCCCACTGCTGCTCTGAGACTCGGAGGAGGGGACACCTCAGATGGTCTTTGCTGCCCTGTGGCCAGTCCCCCACACGCCGCCGTCTCCATCGTGACACAAACGCGAGTGGAGGAGGGGGACGCTTGGCTCCTTGTTTCCTGGAGGAAGTGATTTTGGAGCCTGGGTTATGACCCATGGTTTCTCCTCACATGGCTGCATTATCAGGAAGGAACTTTGCCAAATAAAAAGATTTGACTCAGAAAATCAGGTCATGACCTCTCTCTGAGTTTGAGAAGGGCATTTTCCTGTCCCTTCCATAAACCAGGCCTTGCCAAGAACACGTGTGGGTTGACTTCCCATTGCATAACCCGCCTTCTTCACGTCGCAGGCTGTGCAGCCCCAGCATGTGCCCACCGTGGCACCTTCTATTAGGCCTTGTAATGAGACCAGAGACGGGGCGGACGTGCAGTGTGGGCCAAGGCAGAGCAGTGGGGAGAGCAGGGCCCCGGGGTAGTTTCTGGAAGATCAGCTGCCCTGATTTCAGTAAAATGTGCTAATACACAGGACAGCTTTCAGCCTCGGCAAACTCCAGACTCCTTGGGGACTTCCAGAAGTGAGCTCCTGCGCAGGCGCACGTTCCATGTCAATACCTGCTTGTCTGCACCCCTTCGCACCTGCACAGTGGTCCATTGGGTTGAGAACCGCATTGTAACACTAGGTGAACTGTTCTACAAATGTCAATTAGGTTGCGTTTGATAGAGGGGTTCAGGTCTTCTACACCCTCCTCGATTTTCTCTCTGCTTGTATCAGTTCCTGAGCGAGGCTGAAATCTCCACCTGCAAATGTGAGCCTGTTTCTCCTTGCGGCTCCGTCGGGTTTCGCTTCATGTGCCTTCAAGCTCTGTTATCAGGAGTGTGCACATTTTGGGTTGTTACATTTTCCTGCTTGTTTTGTCTTTTATCGTTATGAAATGACCTTTATCCCTGGTCATGGTCTTGTTCCGAGGTCTACGTTATCTGATCTCAGTGTGACCAACCACTCCAGCTTTCTTTGATCGGTGTTTTGACAGTCATTCTAAACTGTCTCTTATTCTCTGTTCCTTTTGCACAGCATCCTATACTTTTCTTCTTGATGGTGTACCGTTTTGGGTTTCTGTGAGGATTCATACTTTCACTTACAAACAATGAGTTTTATTAAGGCATATTTATATACCATAAAATTCAGCAACTGTACACATAAAATTTGATGACTTAGGTCAGGCGTATACAGCTGCGTACCCACCAGCGCAATCAACAGAGAGGACATTTTCATTACCCCAAAATGTTCTCTCATGTCCCTTTGCCGTCACTCGCCTCCCAACAGCTGTGGCCCTGGCAACCACAGATGTGTTTTGTCCCTACAATTTTGTTGTTTCGTAAAAATGGAACCATGTAGTTTGCAGTCAATTCTGAGTCTGGCTTTAACTCAGCAGGGCAGGGTTTAGGCTCATCCATGTTGTTTCATGCCTCACTCGTTCATTTCATTTTACTGTTGAGTAGCAATCCATGGGACATTTGGGCCAGTTCCGGCTTTGGACTGTTATGAATAAAGCTGCTATAAATATCTGCATGCAGGTTTTCTGTGGAGTGGAACTGCTGGGTCATATGGTAAGTGTGTGTTTATTTTAAGAAGCTGCCCACCTGTGTTCCAAAGTGGTTGTACCATTTTGCTTTCCCACCGGAAATGTATGAGAGTTCCTCACCAACACTGTTCATAAATAGTTACTTTATCATAAATAATGCTGTTTATATATTTAACTTTTCAAAAGTTGTCTTCTCTTCTTGTTTCCTTTGGAGTCCCTTGATCAGGTTGTTTATCTTGGTCCTTCTTTTTTGTGCTGCTGGTTTAGCTCAAATATCTGGTGAGCTTTGGACATCCACAATGAGGAATAAAGAACTGGCATTTCATTGTGGTAGCTGGTGTACGCCCCCCCCTCCCCGTCCCACCTGTTCTCAGTTCTGTAATGGGTCTGGTTTCCTTTTTTTTTTCAATTTGGTTGGTTTCGGTTTTGATTTTTTTTTTTTAATTGGGGAACAGTGTGTTTTTCTAGGACCCATCAGCTCCAAGTCAAGTAGTTGTTTCAATCTAGTTGTGGAGGGGCAACTCAGTAGCCCATGTGGGGCTCGAACCAGCAACCTTGGTGTTATGAGCACTGCACCCTGCGCTCTAACCACCTGAGCTAACCAGCCGTCCCTATTTCCTTTTATACATCTTCACTGTCATTTCATGGGATTTAGAGGAAAGGAAGAAGAGCTAAATGTGTAAGTTTAGTCTTCCAGCTTGAAATGGAAGCTTTCTTTATCCTTTTAATGATGATGTGTTTGCAACTGGAGTCATGGTGTGTGGTAAGGAGCAGGTTCTCAAGTTGTTGACCTTAAGATTATTTCATTATATAAATATATCAGAACTTAAATCAACCTCACAATGTTCCACAGTGAGATTGTTTCCAGTTTTCTGCTTATTGATAATTCTGCTCTTATGTAGATATAGAGAAAGAGAGAGGGAGACGATGGAGAAGAGAGAGAAGACAGGTGAGACAGAGCAGAGATGAGAGTTGATAAAGAGACGAGAGAACGAGATGAAAGGGATGATGGAGATGAGAAAGATGACAGGGACAGAGATGAGATAGAAAATAGAGATGGAGCTGATGTGGATAGAGGTGGAAGTAACAGTGATGATGGGAGTGGAGCTAAAGATACAGATGGTTATGGACTGAATTGTGTCCCCCTTTTTAGGGGACCCTAACCCCCAGTACCTTAGAATGTGACTCTATCTAGAGATGGAGCCTTTCAATAGGTAATTAAGGTAAAATGAGGTCATGAGGGTGGGTCCTAATCCAACATGACGATGTCCTTATAAGAGGAGATTAGGACACACATGCACAGAGGGAACACCAAGTGAAGACGGGGAGATGGCCATTTACAAGCCAAGGAGAGAGGCCTCAGACACCAGCCCACCAACACCTTGTTCTTAGACTTCCGGCCTTCCTTCTTCCAACTGTGAGGAAATAAATTTCTGTTATTTGAGTCACTCGGCCTGGTATTTGTTACACTAGCCCTAGAAAACTGATACAGAGCTAGCTGATGGTGATAAGGAAGATGATGGAGATGGAGATGACGGAGTTGGGGAGAGAGAGAGCTACAGGTAGACCTGTGCGTGGAAAACCAGAAATTTCTTAGGCTAAAACCTTAGAGGCGTAATTGCTGGTCGAAGGACATGTGCATTATCAAAGCTGTTGTTCCGTCCTGTTAAGACCGCACCCCAAAAGGCTATACACTGGCAGTGTCTGAGATGGCCTAACTCCCCACCATCTCCAAATCTGTCCTCAGTGAGTCAGCACCAAAGGTCAGGGAACAGGACTTTCAGACAGGTCTGGCCATGCATTAGGTGTCTAACGACTGGGACAGGCTTGGCACCTGTGCTACTCGGGTCCACATTTAACTCAATGTTACAGGCCACCCACTCTGAGCCACCTCTCAGAAGACTGGTCCTTGTCCTGGGTAACTTCTTGACAGGGAGCCTTAAGCAGAGGCTGCTCCCAGCTCCTGCTTGGCCATCCCCAGCCTCTGCAAACAGGAGCTGACAAAGGACCAGAGGGGGAGGCTGGGGGATGGGTCAACCCCACCCCACTCCCAGGCTGCAAGGGAGATGGTTACACTTGTGGGCAAGGAAAAAATGTCATTGTAGCTTCAACCCTACCTTGGCCTCTTTTCTCTGTAATCTAGGGACCAGGAGCTATGGCAGCATGATAAGAGCCAGTGGACTCGGTTCAAATTCTGGTTGTGCTACTCACTGTCTCTGTGACCTGGCCAAGTCACTTAGCCTCTCCAAGTCTATTTATTCATCTGTAAAATGGCATAATGATGCTATCTCCCTCATAGGATTATTGTGAGGATGAAAGGTAATTATGTAAAGCACATAGAATTGAGAATGTCACAGCAAGCGTTCAATCGATATTAGCTGGTGGTGGTGAGGCTGTGGTAGAAAGGGGGAGCTGCAGGCAAGGCTGGCATGAGGCTCAAGGGGTGTCTCTGAAAGGGACATTTGAAATCTTTACACATTGTTCCCTTTATATTCTATATCCTACCCCACTCCCTCAACAACTCCTATCCCACCTTCTGATTGTTACCAGCACCCACGTATAGGTACCAAGGACTGTGAACACACATGCTCTCAGAGGTCCCCTTAGACTCCCCGGGGCACAAGATGCTTCAGGGACCAAGAGCCAACCCCGCTGACAGTGCTGTATCTGCCCCAGGAGCCCAGCCCAGCACCATCAGACACAGGGCCATGGAGAACGGGCAGGATAGAACATCCCCAGAAGACAGGTGCAGCAGAAGCTGAGCTTTACCTAGCCCACAGAAGGCTGGTCTTTGCACTGGATAACTAGGTAGAAATCTGCATTGGCCACCAATATGTACCCCATCTCCCATTTCCCACCCCCCCATCCCCAAAACAACTTCCAGGAGAACCCTGGCTTCTGCGAACCTGAGGCAAGGACTGCTCATTGCCACCCAGTGGCCATAGGAGGGATTGCATCAGCTGAAGCTTCAAGCACTAGGTAGGCTACCTCTCAGTAGCCAAGGGTATGGTCTCAGTACTGTTAGGAAAGCCTCTGCTACCGCCTAGTGGCCAGAATGGGATTAGCACCAGCTGGGCCTGTGGCTGCGGGCAGAGCCGCACCAGCTGGAAGGGGCCACAAGTCAAGGAACGCAGGCAGCCTCTGGAAGCTGGAAAAGGTAAGTAAATACCTAGAGCCTCCAGAAGGAAGGTAACCCTGCCAACACCTTGATTTTAACCCAATATCCATCTCAGACTTCTGACCTCTAAAGCTGTAAGCCCCAATTGCAGAAGCACAAAGTAGAAAAGGGCTTATCTCAAAGGGATCCGTGGGTGTAGCTTGCCTAATAGAGTGAATCCCAGTAAGATTAATAGAGGACCCACAAAGTTAAGAGAATTAATTATATTGGCAAAAAAGCTACCCGCTGTGACTGAAAAGGGCAGAGAAAGTACAAAATGAAGAGGACTTAGGACACCGGTCCCCCAACCCCCAATTCATTTCTGCGTCCCAGGTAACGAATTTCATCTTTTTCTTTTTCTTTTTTTTTTTTTAGCTGAGCCATCCTGCCACCTGTTGGCAGCTCAGCAGCAGCTCAGCTGGGGCTGGGAATCGAACTGGCGACCGTGTTGCTGACAGCTCACACTCTTGAGTGAGCTCTTAACCAACTGAGCCACTCAGCCGGCCCTCATTCTATCTTCTTAATGTCAAAATGCCTCTAAAACTGAATTGGTCATCAGAAAATTGCTTGGGTGGTGAAGAATTTTCAACAGGTTTGACAGGAAATTTCATCAATGCTCTGAGGAAGCCTGTGGAAATATTCCCTAGTACAGCAGGGAAACCTCCAGGGAACAGAATATTCAGGAATCTCCTCTTGCAATACTGCTGATCAAACACTTTTATTAATAAAGTGTGTTTCTGCCCATGAAATTACTGACGTTCCCTCCTGCTGATAGATTTTATACTTTGAGAATTCCAGGCCACCAACTAGTGGCTGCCCTGTGCACACTGAAGGGTCCACGTTTCATCTATTCGTCCCCAACTCTCAGTAGGGCTCAAAAGGACCGTGAAGGTGGCTAGGGTTGGGCCTCAACTGAAGGTCCCAGAAGGAGAGAGCCCCTGCCTTCCGCAGCTCTGGGAACCCGAACCTCTAAAAAGAAATCAATCAGGCGCCCACAACCAGTGTAAATCTGCGCCTGCGCTAAAACTACCACTCCCAGGATCCTTCGCGCCCAAGTAGCTTCCGGTCTCAGAGGCCCCAGCTGTTGGGTTCCGGTGGACCTGAAGAGCCTGGGAAACAGAGCATGATGGAAAATAGATTCTGGGAGCAAGAACTGGCGGAAGCGTCTCTGAGAAGCACCGTCCACGAGGGTGTGCGGGCCACAAAGCAGGCACTGAGAGAAAGACGCTTTGACCAGGAAGAGTCCGATTTCTGGAGAATGGAGTCTGGTGGGACGGGGAGGCATGTGCGCGTTGCCGGAAGTGACGCTATTCAGGCGCGTCCCGTTTGGCGCGAGAGCAGTACCTGGCGTTTGGCAGTACCTACAGCCGCAGTTTCTGAGCTCCGGCAAGTAGCGTGCTGCGGTTTTTTTCACGCGGTGTTCTGCTTGAGACCTAGTCGTTAGTTGCGCCTTGGGTTTCCTAGCCGAGGCCTGGCTGTGGCTAGGGAGACGTTGAAAGACCCGGCTTGGATAGGCCCTATCGGAGCTCCCAGGGCCCAGCACCGCAGGCTTAGATCCGGACTCGGAGGGGAGAGGCTGGGAGAGAAGAGCCCAGCAGTAGGAGCAGGTCTGGAGAGTGGGGCTGGAGCTGCAGTGAAACCACGCTGACGCCCAGAGAACTGCTGTAAGGCGGTGGCGCGTGGTGAGACCCAGATGCTGGAGGAAGGAGGTGAGCGGTGGAGGGAACGGCTTGCCAGAGATCCAGTTTCTTGTTACAGTTCGCCCACTAATACTGCTGTATCCCCCTTTCCCCTAGTCCCTGGCAACTACTAATCTACTTTATGTCCCTATGGATTTGCCTATTCTGGACATTTCATAAAAATAGAATCATACAATGAATGTGTCTGACTTCTTTCACTTAGCATAGTGTTTCAAGGTTCACCCATGTTGTAACATGAATGTACCTCGTTCCTTTTTATGGCTAAATAATGTTCCATTATACGGATATACCACATTTTATGTTCCTCAGTTGATGGGACATCTGGGTGGTTTCCAGTTTTGAGTTTTGATTATTATGAATAATGCTGTGAACATGGGTGCACAAATTTTTGGTGTGGACGTGGTTTCGTTTCTCTTGGGTATATGCCTATGAGAGGAATTGTGGTGTCATGGTGACACTGAACTTCAAAAGTTTTCTGCTGTGGCTGTACCATTTTACATTCCTAGTAGCAATGTCTAGTGTTCCAATTTTTCTACATCCTCGTCAATACTTGTTTTCTTGTTTTTTAGCCATCTAGTGTGTGTGAAATACCTCACTGTAGTTTCATATGCATTTCTCCAGTGATTAATGATGTTGAGCATCTTTTCATGTACTTTTTGGCTATTTGTATATCTTGCTTGGAGAAATATCTATTCAAATCCTTTGCCCATTTTGAAATTGGGTTGTCTTTTTGTTGCGTTGTAAGAATTCTTTATATATTCTGGATAGTGGACCCTTAGAAGATACAATTTGCAGATTCGTTCCCATTCTGTGGTTATCTTTTCACTTTCTCGATAGTGTCTGCCTTTTGAAGCAAGATGTTTTAAATTTTTATTAAATCCAGTTTATTTTTGTTGTTGCTTGTGCTTTTGGTGTCATATCTAAGAAGCTATTGCCTAATTAGAGGTCATAAAGATTTATATTTATGACAAGTTATCATATTGTAAATATGAGTCCTTCAAACTTAGTTCTTCCAGATTGACTATTCTGAGTCCCTTGCATTTCCATATGAATTTTAGGATCAGTTTATCAATTTCTGTAAAAAAGCCAGCTGGGACTTTGATAGGGATTGCATTGCTCAAAAAAATGTTTGGTTGTTTTTAGTGTACACGTCTTGTACTTACTTTGTTAATTTTATTCCTATTTTTTTATTAATGCTCTTGTAAATAGAATTTTTATTTCATTTTTGGATTGTTCATTGCTAGGGTACAGAAATATAACTGGAGAAATGTGTATTCATCTTTGCCCATTAAGTGGGTTGCCTCTTTATTGTATATTCATCTTGTATCCTGCAACCTCACCGAACTTGTTTATATATTTTTGGGGAGATTCCTTAAGATTTTCTATATACAAAATCATGTATCATGAATAGAGAGTTTTAATTCTCCCTTTCCAATCTGGGTACCTTTTTTTCTTGCCTAATTGCCCTGGCTAGAACTTCCAGCATAATACTGAGTAGATGTGGCAAGAGCAGACGTCCTTATGTTTTGTTTCTGATCTTAGGAAAGCATTAGGCTTTCACTATTAAGTATGTTAGCTCTGGGCTTTTAGTAGATGCCTTTCCTCAAGTGAAGGAAGTTCCCTTGTTCCTAGTTTATTGAGTGTGTTTTCTCATGAAATGCGGTCAGATTTTGTAAAATGGCCTTTTTGGTGTTTACTGAGATGATTGTGTGCGTTTTTTTCCTTTGTATTAATATGGTGTATTGATTTTTTTATGTTGAACCAACCTGTGTTCCTGGGATGACTCCCACTTGGTCATTACCCCTTCTGATTAGGCAAATGTCTGAAATTTGTAGAGCCACTAATAGAACCGAGTAATAGGTAAGGTAATATTTGTAAACTACATACTTACATGCTAGGCATTGCGCCAACTCTGCATTTTCCTTTAATCTTCATAGCAACAGCTTTACAAGGGATTATTATCCCCATTTTACAGTGAGAAAAATGAGACTTAGAGGTTATGTGATTTGCACACTGCAGGTAAGTGGTTGGTTGGGGATACTTGAGTCTGTTACGCCTAATACCTCCCTATACTGAATTGATGGGATTTCCAAGGTAGGAAAGAGAACGGGCAATTTTACATCCCACTCACTGCAGGTCTGCAAATTCAGCCCCAGTGCCCTGGAACCTTCAGTGTCCTTTGAAGCCCCACTTCAGAGAGAATGTGAGCTATAAATTTTATGTCTCATTGGCTTTTCTTTTCCTCCAGAACCACCTTCTCTGGACACTACCCCGATCCGAGAGAGCACAGGAGAGGAAGGAATGGTGGCTGGCCTCCTCACAGCTGGGCCACATGTAAGTTGGAAATTTAATACGGCGCTTTTTTTTTAATTAAGTAACATTAAGGGTTTTTTGGTTGGTTTTTTAATTACAAAAGGAACTCATGTTCATTGTAGAAAACTTGAAAAATACACATACAAAAAAATCAGTTGATCTCAGAGATAACTTAAAATTTTGATTTGTAACCTTTCAGTCATATTCTTCCTGTTTGTAACCTTATTTTCAGTTAGCATAATTTGGTTAATATTTCCATTTCCTTAAGCGTATTGGACAAAATCATTTCTAATGTATTCCATTGCATAATCCTGCCATGAATGTAGGAACTGTCTTCTTCACCCCCCAATTTTTTTCTCACTAGACTAGGTATTGGCCTATTTTCATTCTTAGAACATGTGCTCTTGGATTTCCTCATCAGTTCTATTCTTTGACAAATTTTTGTTTTTTGCTTTCCTCACATTTATTTTAAAATTCATTTTAATGTCTTGGATTGAATCTCTAATTCATGTTCTTCCTTTCCTATTTATATTGAAAGGTTTTGGCTGTGGGTCATTGTTAGATGTTCCAGAAATTATGGCTGGTTTCTTTGCCCATTTGGCTGGTCTGTGCGCTCCATGAGAACAGTGTGTCTTGTCAACAAAGTACCCAGGTGGTATGATGCTTGCAGGGCGTAGGGTGTGATGGCTGTATTAGCTCAGCCTTATTAAATTGCTCAGTTCTATATCTTTACTTTTTAATTAGTTATTAACTCTTGTCAACAGTTGTTTTAAAATCTCTCATAGCTGTAATATTTTAAGTTTCTCCTCGAACTTCCTAGTTTTTCCTTTATAAATTATGTTACCTGGTTTGTGACACATCTTTATAAAAACTGACCCAAATGTTGTAAATATTTCATTTTTTTAAATGACCCTCTTTGTCCCCTTTAATTCATTTCTCAGTGTGAAGGATGGTTTGGATGGACAGGTAAAATTAGGTCAGGAGACCTAATTTTATAATTTGGGAAGTGCTCATTTAAAACAAGGCAGTGATGGGGGCATTGAGAGAAGTGAGTGATGGTGAGAGGAATGAATAGGCCATTGACTTGTGGGGAGCTGCAGGGAAGGATAGCACCCAGGTTTCTGCGGGGCTCACTAGGTGAATGGAGGCACCGTTTCCTTCTTGCCTCTGTGCCACTCATGCTGCCTCCCTGCTTTGGATTTCCTCCTCTTGCTCCTACAAGGCCAGCTCGGTGACTGCCTTCTCTGTGCTCTTCCCTGATTGTCCTCCCCCTGTCCTCTACCCAGGATTCCTCTTCTGTTATCCTATAAATGGGTCTGTCCATCTCAACACGTTATTACAGATGGCTGCGTACATACCTGGCTCTCATGCTGTGCTGTGTAATGTCTGAGTTCGTGGGGATATTTATTCCATGTTCTGAAAACATTCAGCTTTCACATTTCTTTGCTAATTTGCATCTGATTCCTCATTTGTGTAAACTCACATGTTCTAATTTTCTATATTGGCTCTTAATTCCCAAGCAACTGTTAGTTTCTGCCCAGTTAAGAGGGGGGTGGGAGTGGGTGTGTGTGTGTGTGTGTGGGTGTTTTGTTTTTTCTTTATTCATATGAAAAGTCTACCAGAATTACAGATGTGAAGGCAAGAGGCTATTTTTGTGTCAGTATCCAGTGTTAGGCACATAGTGCTTTTTCTGGAACTACCCCGAGTCCTGAATCCTTTCAGAGACCCTTTGTAGGCCTGTTAGCCATCTCGCCCAGAGCCGCCAACCTCCCCACCCCCTCTCCACCTCATTTCCTAAAGTCACTGGGCAAGAAGAAATGTGCTTGTTGTTTCAGGGACCCACACCCTTCAGCAGTATGACGGTAGCTTTTACCCACGAAGAGTGGAGGCACTCAGTCCCCGTTCCAAGGGACAGGTCCAAGGAGGGGATACCAGAAAAGTCCAGGAACTTGGTCCTACTGGGTAAGGAAACCCCTTAAAATACAGAATCTGCTCAGTTCTGAAAACCTGTGGCACTTGCCAGTGTTGAGTGATCCCGACTTGCTGACATCCTGGAGAGACAATGTTTATTCCTTGTTCCCTAGGGAAAGGCCTCTGCATTCTTGGTTGGGAAACAGTCATTTTCATTTGCTCCCCAAGGCTGCACCTCACCATTTTCTTATTTCTCAGGAGGGTTGGGGTAACCTTGAGGCCAGTTCCCATCTCCCTAAATAGCTTGCTTTATGGGCTTAGCTTAACTTCCTGGTTTGACCCCCTCCTAGAAGCTGTTTCTTTAGCTCTTTCCAGAAATGCTTTACCAAGACACTGGCACCGTGTCTTATTACTGCTGTACCCCCAGTGCTCAGCACCAAATGTTCAATAAATACTTGTTGAGTGAAGTTCATGACCTAACTGGCCTGCGTCCGTTACCCTGAGTTCTGGGTGGCTCTTTCTCCCTGACTAGGACTTCCAGTTTCCCAGCCCGGCATGAACTCTCAGTTGGAACAAAGAGAAGGCCCATGGATGCTGGAGGGAAAGGGCCTAAGGAGTACCTGTCCAGGTGAGGACGCAGGCGCTGAGCCAGTGAAAGAAACTCTTGGAACAAAATCCTCTTTCAAACATAGTAGTGCTTTTGATGAGGGAACAGTGACAGGGAGCACAAAGGTGAGAATGCGAACATGGTTCACTTACTATTCCTCACATAGGACGTTCACATGGACATTCTGGGTCCATTATGTGCTTTAACTCATTTAATCCTCACTAATTCTGCATGAGAGCTACATTCAGATAATACAAATAGAAAGATTAAGTAATTTATCCAAAGTCACACAGCTAGTTAGTAAGAGGTGGAGCCATGATTTGAACCCAGACATTCTGGGTCAAGATTCTGTGTGGGAATTCAAATCAAGGGTACCTAGAACTAACGCTGCTGTTCTCTCCTCGGGGAAATAAGGTAGGAATGGAAACAATCTCTTCAGGAAAATTGATCCTTATGAAAAGCAGCTCCATATCCCTCCCCCTAAAACTCCACTCCCTTACCTAAAACACCTATGTAGGAGACAGAGGTGTCTGGGACCTTATGACTAGTTTTAATACTTCCATATATTGTACACTAATTTACATTTTAAAGTTTCTCTTAAAATGAATGACGTCCCAAAGAGGGTTAAGAACAAGTCCAAGATGGCAGCACAGGGAGACCTTGAACTCACTGCTTCCCACAAACATCAAATTTATACCAATAGATAGAGCAACCCCCCTGAAGACGTGAAACCTAACTGAACAACTTCTGCCCAAGAAACGGCAGTGACCACATAGAAATGGGTGGGAGAGACTGAGGCACAGTACCATGGGAACCCCAGCCCCAATGCGCTGATCTGCAGCAGGGAGGGGTCACGGAAGGGCCTACTTGCAACCTTGCCCACCCTGGGAACAGTGATAAAATAGCGGCTTAAAAGGCACCTAGAAAGCTCCTCCTTTTGCTCGGCCCACTCCAAACTCTTTGGAGTGTGCTTTCTCTTCTAACAGTCCTTGAGCCATTCTCTACTGCTCGGGCCCACTTCTATTTCTTTAAAGTGTATTATCTCTTCTAATAAACTGCTCTTTCACCACATGAATAAATAAATAAAAGGCACCTATTCGGAAAGGAAACCGATTTACTAACCCTGGAGCATCTGCCAAATGGGAGGGGAACGGCAGGCAGGGAGCATGCCATTTGTTGCCCCTCACCCCACCCCCCAATCACATGGATGGGAGCACGATCCAGGCTCTAGGCAGCCAGCCAGGCGAGCAGAGTGCACACCAGGACCCAGGCCCAAGCCAGTGCTGTGGCTTGTCCCCAGAGCCCACAATTCCAATTACAGCTCCAGGCTCCCACACGACACAGCTTACCCGAGTTTCTGCAACCTGCTATAGCTTCCAGCTGGGCTTCCAAGGTGGTTCCCAGCACAGCTTACCCCTGGGACTCCATGGCTCACACCCACTACAGCTAAAGCTCTGGGCCCCAGTGTGGCTTGCCCCTAGGAGTTCACTCAGCTAAGGCCCTACAACTACAGCTCCAGCTGGCCTACCAAGGCAGCCCTGATGTGGCCTGCCCCTAGGACCCCCCCCTCCCCACAGCCCAACCCCACTCCAACTACAGCTCCAGCCAGCATGCCAAGGCAACCCCACTGGGACATGACCCTAGAGTTGGTTCCCTGTGGTCTAAACCTGTTCCAACTACAGCCCCACATGGCCCACGCCTGCTCCAGCCTCAACGGGCCTAAGGTAGCGCCTGTGTGCCTTGTCCCCACGCCCCACCCCTATCCCGCTGAGGTCCAGTCCACGCCTCCTCCAGCTCCAACTGACCTGCCAAACACACTTGGCACCCACCGTCTACACCAAGGGGAAGCTCCTACAGGAGGCCACTCCTTCAAGACAGATTGCTGTTTTGCCTAATTCACAGAAACGGCCAGCCAAAATGAGGAGACAAAACATTCCAAGTGAGACAACAGAACAAAATCCCAGAAAAAGAGCTGAATGAGATGGAGATAAGCAATCTACCAAATAAAGAGTTCAAAACACTGGCTATAAGGATGCTCAATAAACTCGGGAGAATAGATGAACTCAGTGAGAACTTCACAGAAAGAAAATATAAAAACCAATCAGAACTGAATAACTGAAAAATATACTACAGGGAATCAACAGATTTGCTGATGGAGGAGTCGGCAAGCCAGAAGACAATAGAAATCAACCAGTTGGAACCGCAAAAATAACAATTATAAAAATGAGGATAGTTTTAGGGACCTCTGGGACAATATCAAGTGTACTAACATTCGAATTATAGGGGTCCCAGGAAAAAATACAGGAAACTATTTAAAGAAGTAACGGCTGAAAATTTCCCCAACCTTGCAAAGGAAACCGATATCCAAGTCCAGGAAGCAGTCCCAAATAGGATGAACCCAAATAGGTCCACACCAAGGCACATCATAATTAACATGTCAAAAATTAGAATTTTAAAAGCAAGAGAAAAGCGGCTAGTTATGCACAAAGGATCTCCGTTAAGACTATCAGCTGGTTTTGCATTTATTCAAAATGATGAAAGGGGAAAAACCCTATAACCAAGAACACCCAGCAGGTTTATCATTCAGAATTAAAGGATAAACAGTTTCTCAGACAAACACAAGGGTGGGCGGGGGAGTTAAAGGCGCTTTCAGTGAGAAAGAAAAAGCCAAAACTAAAAAGAAGAAAACGGGGCCGGCTGAGTGGCACATTGGTTAAGAGTTGGCTTGGGACGCCAGCTCTGAGCAGCAGGACCCCAGCTCAGATCCCACATGAGGGCCAGTGACACTGCGCCCTCTACAGCTGAGATGGTGAACAGCTGGAGCTGGGCTGCCGTGAGTCACTGGCATCAGCGTAGGCTGCAATGGGCTGCCATAAGCTACCATGAGCGGCCGGCAGCCAGCGTGAGTTACCAAGAGCCGCTGTGAATAGCCATCCAGTGGGCCGGCAACCGATCTGCTTCGCCCTGGAGGAGTGCAATGATAATACCAACACGGGCCAGTGAAGCCACGTCTTCCACAACTAGACTGAAGAACGAAAGGACAGCAACTTGTCTGTTCCCCTTCCCCAATTCCCCAATAAAATCTTTAAAAATATAAAAAGAAAATGGAGGAGATGACATCAGCATCATGGCAGGGAGAAAAGACTCCTTTCTGTCTCCCCTTAAATTTACAAATTGACATCTGTAATCCAACAAAGGTTCCTGAGATCCAAGCATCAGTACATCTGAAGCCGGGTGCACTGGAACACATAGGGGAGGTGGGTGTCCACAGATGCAGTTTGGCAGCTGCTGCAGCCCCACCTAACACAGCAGGGGACAAGTTGGGGTGTACCCCCCATACTATGGCCCAGAAGAGGGTAAGAAATGCAGAAGCAGCATTGGTGCCCAAGAATCTGCCCTCCTCTCCCCTGCCATTGCAGCAGAGCCTGGTAGCACCAGCCAAGAAGCTTGGAACATCACAGCCGTGCTGTTGGCCATTGGAAACAGGAGGCAACACTGTAGGCTTGTGACCCTGGCTGCCCCCCACCCCGAGACTGAGGGGACCCAGACACAGCTGGTACACCCACCATGACTTCCAAGGTGCAAGTAGTGCAGGTAATAAAAAACAAAAGCCTCTATCAACCTGCTGAATTATGAAGATCAAAATGGTCTCTAAATAAGAAGAGTCCCCTACCTCCAATGCACAGGCAGAGGAACAACCCAAATACCAGGAACAATCAAGGTAACATGGTAACTTTCACATGTCCAAAAACCAATCTCAGAGTCAAAGACTAATTTTCAAGATTTCTATCATGAAGAATCTCAGTGATACAAGGAAACTCAGGCAGTTCAGTGAGCTCAGGAATAAAATTTATGAAAAGGAGTACTTTACCAAAGAAATTGAAACTAGAATCTAACAAATTCTGCAGCTGAAGAACTCAATGAGATGGATATATTAAAAAGCATTGGAGGGCCGGCTGAGTGGCTCAGTTGGTTAAGAGCTCGCTCAAGAGTTTGAGCTCTGAGCAACAGCGGTTCGAGTCCAGCCCGAGCTGAGCAGCCGCTGAGCTGCCAACAGGTAGCAGGATGGCTCAGCTAAAAAAAAAAAAAAGCATTGGAGGGCCGGCCGAGTGGCACGATGGTTAAGAGCTGGCTTGGGATGCCAGAGCTCCTCGGTTCGGATCCCACATATGAGGGCCAGTGACATTGCCCTCCACAGCTAAGATGCTGAACAACAGCTCAACCTGGAGCTGGACTGCCATGAGTCACCGGTGACGGCGTAGGCTGCAGCCCCTATGGCAGTGGGTTGCCATGGGCTACCATATGTAGCCAGCAGCCAGCGTGTGTAGCCAGCAGCCGCCATGAGCAGCCGTCCAGAAGCCGGCGACTGATCTACCTTGCCCGGGAGGAGTGCAATGATGGTGCCAACTTGGGCCCATGAAGCAACGTCCTCCACTAGACTGAAGAACAAAAGGACAGCATCTTGTCTGTTCCCCTTCCCCCAATTCCCCAATAAAAATCTTTAAAAAAAAAAAAAAGCACTGGAAATACAGCAGACCAGATAGAAGACAGAATTAGCAAGCCTGAAGATAGAAATCTAGAAATGATTCAAATTGAAGAAACTAGTGTTTTTAAAAAACGAATGAACTCTACAACAACTGTCTGACTCCATCAGAAAGAGCAACATAAAGATAATGGGTATCTCAGAAGAGGGAGAAGGGGTCATCAGAGGGCCTATTCAAAGAACTAATTGAGAGCTCCCTAAACCTAGAGAAGGAATCAGACAGTCGAGCACAAGAAGCTAACAGAACATGTAATTATCTCAACACAAAAAGACATTCTCCAAGACATATTAAAGCTGTCAAAAGTTTAATGATAAAGAATTCACAAGGCAGTCAGGAAAAAAAAGACTGTAACCTACAAAGGAAAACCCATCAGATTACTGTCAGATTCTCAGTAGTAACCATATAGACCAGGAGAGGGTGGAACGATAAACTCAAAATTTTTAAAAAAACCACCAGATGAGAATATATGCAGTAAAGCTGTCCATTAACAGATCAATGAGTGAAGATGTACATAGGGAGTATTAATCAGCCATAAGAAATGAAATCCTACCATTTGCAGTAAGTCCAACAGAGGAAGACAGATACCATTTGATTTCACTTATATGTGGAATCTAAAAAACTAACAAAAACAAGCTCATGGTACAAAGAACACACTGATGGTTGCTGGAGGGGAGGAAAGTGGGGGCTCTGGGCAGAAGGGAAGGGTATTATGTACAACCATATTGTTTTCCAGAAAGGTCCCAATTTATGTAGCTATACCAGTGTGCTCTTAGCAACTCTAGAATTATCAAATTTTGGTAAGTGAAAACTCATGTTGCTGACTTCATCCATCAGCTTTTTAAAGTGAAATACTTAAACCTGGTAAATAGATTGCCCAAAACCACAGAGGATTTTGAGACTAAGACAGCCTGAGACTACACAGTACACAGCAAGAGAAGAGTATCAGAAATAAAAGGAATACTGCATCTGAGGCTGAGGATTAGGGTAAATTTCATCCCTTCCCAATTTAGAAAAGGGGGCTAAAGGATGTTGTCTCTGAAATTCCATCTTGGTCATTATTCACGGTTTAGAACAGAAATGTAAAAGTTATGTTCGGGATGAAAGGAAGTGTAGTGGACTAAGAGCTCAGCTCAACTCCTTTAGCCTTTTGTATTTCAGTAGTATCTTTTTTTACACCAAAGGAATTTCATTGCCTCTCAAATTCTTTTCAGACTGGAAGATTGTGTCTGAATCACCAGAGCAAGACAATTCTGAAGACTCATTCCAAGACCGAAGTGGAGAGAGGCCCTCTGGGGAGTCAGATCACAGGCACAGTGAACTGGTGAAAAGCTTCAATCTGAGACCAGTCCTTTCTCCCCAACAGAGAGTTGCTATGGAAGTGAGGCCCCGTAAATGTGAAATGCAAACAAAGAACTTCAGGAAGAATTCAAAGATCATTAAGTCTCACCGAGTGAAACCGTACACCTGTAATGACTGTGGCAAAGCCTTCAGCTACTGCTCTTCCCTTTCTCAGCATCAGAAGAGCCACACTGGGGAGAAGCCTTATGAGTGCAGCGAGTGTGGGAAGGCCTTCAGCCAGAGCTCGTCTCTCATCCAGCACCAGAGGGTTCACACGGGAGAGAAACCTTATAAATGCAGCGAATGCGGAAGGGCCTTCAGCCAGAACGCAAACCTCACAAAACACCAGCGAACTCACACTGGAGAAAAGCCCTACAAGTGTACCGAGTGTGAGAAAGCCTTCAGTGACTGTTCGGCCCTCGTCCAGCACCAGAGAATTCACACTGGAGAGAAGCCCTATGAATGCAGCGACTGCGGGAAGGCCTTCCGTCACAGTGCCAACCTCACCAACCACCAGCGGACGCACACCGGGGAGAAGCCCTACAAGTGCAGCGAGTGCGGGAAGGCCTTCAGCTACTGTGCAGCGTTTATTCAGCATCAGAGGATCCACACAGGAGAGAAACCCTACAGGTGTAAGGTGTGTGGGAAGGCCTTCAGCCAGAGCGCCAACCTCACCAACCACCAGCGGACTCACACAGGCGAGAAGCCCTACAGATGCGGCGAGTGCGGCAAGGCCTTCAGCCAGAGCACCAATCTCATCATCCACCAGAAGACCCACACGGGGGAGAAGCCGTATAAATGCAACGAGTGTGGGAAATACTTCAGTGAGAGCTCAGCCCTCATTCGACACCATATAATTCACACCGGAGAAAAACCCTACGAATGCAATGAGTGTGGAAAAGCATTTAACCAGAGCTCATCCCTTAGTCAGCATCAGAGAATTCACACTGGTGTGAAACCCTACCAGTGCAGCCCGTGTGGGAAGGCCTTCCGGTGTAGCTCAGCTTTCATTCGACATCAGAGACTCCATGCTGGAGAGGAGCTGGGGACATGACCAGCGTAGATGGGGACCTGACAGGTACTCTGAATGCATCCGGAGACAGCTAACTTGGTAGCCAGAGCCACATGCAAAAAGTACCTTTAATAAAGTCAGAATTTTACGTGTTGCATGTGAAATGAAAGGTCGCAATTCTTTCTCAACATTTTCCACAAGCTTAATTATTCAGTGGGCCAAGTGCTTTGTGTAGCAAGCACTCCAGACACCTTGGTTTTTAAGTTGTGAGAGACGACCTGGTTCCTCCTTAAAGGCTGTTTTGGGTAATGGTTCTGTTCTCTCCTTGAATGCAGGCTGTTGCTAAAGAAACAAGAACACTGGCCAGGAATGAGCCTTTCTCTATAATGGGGCCACTAAGGTGTCTGATTTGGGGGAATAAATAAATCCAAGAAAGGGCTTTTAGGGCCAACCATTAAATGCTGCAATCTCATTGGGGGTTGGTAAGGGATTCACTCCCTCCCTAACACTGATGACATGAAAACCTAAACACAGACGCAACTCTGGAAACACTGCCGTGCCCCATGTCCACTTGATGCACTTCTAGTGCTTGTCACAGCTGTCAAGAAACCAGTCTGAGGGCCGGCCGAGTGGC